AAAACTAGTATTATATAATATTATATAATAATATATTATAATTAAATTATATTAAGCTTAATAAGTATATTATAAGTAATTTTTAGTATTATAATAATAAATATATTATTTATTTAAAATATTACTAAATTCTATATATAATATAAGTATTTTTATTAAGTATTAAATAATATAATTCTTTTAAATTATAATATATATATATAATTTTCTATAGCTTTAAAAATAGTAACTTAAGTAATTATAATTATAAATATTATTTAAAAAATAATTATATTTAACTTATAAATTAATTAAGTAATATTAATAAAATATAAAAATATAAACTTTACTTAAATTTACTGCCTTATTTTTAAAATTATTAAAGCTAAGTTAAGAAAAGTATATTATAAGCTTAAGCTATACTTAAGCTTATTAATAAGTTTTATTATAATAACTTAATTATTAATTTACTTATATTTAATTTATATAATTAAAGTATATAATAAGTTAAAAATATATAAAATATATATTATTTATTATATATATATTTATATTTTAATTTATTAATATAATAGTTATAAAGCTAGTAACTTAATAAAATATAATAAAAATATAATTATTAAACTTTAAACTAATATTTAAATAGTTAAAGCTAATTATAATATAGTATATATATTAAAATTAATTTATATTTACTTTTATTAATATAAATTAATAATATATATTAATTAAAAAGGCTTTTTTTAAATATATTAAAATAGTACTTTATTTTATTTAAAAATAGCTTATTTTTATTATAAAAAGTTAAAAAATTAAGCTTATTATTTACTTATTATTTAAATAAATATATAATATATAAGCTAATATTTAATTAAAGAGATTTTTATATTAAACTATTTTTTATAAGTATTATTATATACTTTTAATAATTTAAAATAATAAGACTTATAAAATTATTATTTAAAACTCTTTTAATAATTATATTAGTTTAATATATATATATTTTATATTTAATAAAGCTTTTTAATAATAATTATATATAATTTTTTTTTTAATTTAAATTATATTAACTAAATAAAATATATAATTAATAAATAAATATATATATTTATATAAATTATAAAAAGCTATTTAAAATTAAATTAACTTTAATAATTAATTTTATAAAGTAAAGTTATATTTAATATTTAAAATATAAAATGTTTTATAAATAAAATATAAAACTTATAATTATTTTAATATATATATATATATATATAGAATTTTATAAATTTTATTATAAACTAAGTATATTAAAAAGAGAAGAATTATATTATGTTTTAATAGTATATTTAGTAGTCTTAGCAGCTTTAGAATTTATTTAAGGGTAATTACTTTCTATATACAGCTACTTTAATTACCTTACATTTACCCCTACCTAAAATTGCATATTACAACTCTACTATGGCTTTCTTAAGCACCACCCACCACCAGAATGGCTTATCATCCACCCTTTCAAATGTTTCCAGTCCTAAAGGGTCTGACCTGATGGTCTTGAAAGTTGCATCGGTGCTCTCTACTTCCTATTCGGATACCGATTTTCGCGATGCCATCCTCCTCGCCGATCAACGGGCTGTGGGAACCAATGTCAAGAACAGGCGCCAACTTCGACTGGACCTCTTAGGAGAGGCAATTGGCTGTAATGGCGAGATTGTTGGAGAAATGGGCTTGGTCGCGGAGGTTTGTCAGAGCTTCTGCTCACTCTCGCGGGTCAATCACTAATGGCAGAGGTAGAGACTGAAAGACGTTCGAGGAGTTGTTGAAAGATTGAATTCCCGGATCCAAGACATGAAGCGCCAGATCGACTCGGCCCACGATCGGACAACGCCGGCTCTTCGAGGAATGGCCTCACTCTTTGAACAGCGACTGGCAATAGAGAGAAAGCAGGAGATTCTTGGTGCTATTGAGAGCTACTTCATCATGACGGATGACGAGATTGAGTCGCTCACTTCGACTATGAGGCCGGTTGACACTTCATTCTTCTCCCATCTCCAGAAAGCCAGACGAATTACCCTTGGCTGTGACATACTCCTGGGATTTGAAAGCCAGACCCTTGGGCTGGAATTGATCGATCGGACATCCGTACATGTAAACATGGCTTTCCAGAAGCTCTATAAATGGGTGCAACAGGAATTCAAGGCGTTGAACCTGGACAATCCCCACGTCAATCCCTCCATGCGGCAAGCTTTACGGGTTCTCGCGGAGCGGCCCTCTCTCTTCCAGAATTGTCTAGACTTATTTGCAACATCCAGAGAGCGATATCTATCTGAAACCTTTCACTGCGCCCTCACAGGCATCACGCCACAGGGCGCTGAAGATGCCTCGATCAGGCCAATCGATTTGACAGCACATGATCCTCTCCGCTATGTGGGCGACATGTTTGCCTGGGTTCATTCTGCCACTGTGGGCGAGCGGGAAGCGCTCGAAACTTTGTTCGCTGTTGGCAAAGATGACGCCCTTCATGCATCAACATCAAATCCCAATACAACGCTCTGGGATCTTCCCGTCGACGAGGCATCCGAAGGTAGTGAATTCAAGGTCCTCGAAGCCCTCGGACAACTCATGGACCGTAATTTCCTACCTGTCGTTCGGTTACTACGCCAACGTGTCGAGCAGGCCATTCAGTCAAATGAAGACGTCATCCCTGCCTATAAGATCTCAACGCTCCTCAGCTTCTATCGGACGACCTTTGAAAAGCTTTTGGGCCCGGGATCTGGCTTAGAGGAGTGCGCGGGCGCTCTGGAGAAAGTCGCCAAACGTCAATTTCGATCCCTTGTCAGGGATAATGTCCTATCCGTCCAAGGAGAGTTCCAGCAAGTTCCTTCGAACCTAGAGCCTCCTCGATTTCTCCAGGAAGCTTTCAAGCAACTCGGAGCCATTCTCCAGATCTACGAATCCTCCCTGTCTGCTTCTGCAGACTCGGGAAGTGAGGTCCAGGGCATACTATCACAAGCTTTTGATCCATTCATGTCTGGGTGCGAGGAAATTGCGAAACCCATGACAAACCCTGAAGGAGGAATATTCCTCGTCAATTGCAAACTTGCGGCAGCTCATTGTCTAGGTAGTTTCGAAAGCACGGCTTTTCGAGCTACCCAGATTCGAGATGAAGTTGCCAGGGACGTTCTGAACCTAATCAACGACCAGCACGCTGTCTTCCGCCGGAAATCGGGATTGGATGACTTGCTGAAGAACCTAGATGAAGGTGAAGAGGTTGATGTGAGCCAGGCGTCAGTTCGCCAAGCAAGTCAAGAGCTGGACGACTTCCTCCCCTCCGCATTGATGGATGCAATGGACAGGTTGAAGGGGCTACAGGATGCGGAGATGGCCCGACAAATCATAGAACAAGCAGCCGAGAAGTTCTGTGCTGACTTCGAGAGGCTGGAGGAGTTTCTTGCAAGCCAGAACAATGCCGAGGATGCGCCTGATCCAGATGGAGGATTGAGTTTTTCAAGGACATCGGCCGAGATCCGCGTGCTCCTCTCTTAGTTACTCACGTCACACACATTCAATACCACTTGATACACTGTTATATCATTTCTTGCTCCAAAGATGCAGACTTTACGGTGCATTAATTACAGGGAAGGAAGCCATTGATTTTGGGGTGACTGTGTTTGATATATCCTCACACAGGATGCGGCGTAGCAACTCAAAGACGCTCTGTATCTTACCTCCTTGATTCCACGCTGGACCGTAACGACTCAACGCTAGGCCGGACAGAGCTGCTCGAACTGCGTCGGCGGCGTGCTCTCTGTTCCGACGGCTCGGAAGGATGCAGTCCTGTAGATTTGGCGAAGATATTGAGAATGTCTGTCAACGAAACAACTCCAATGAGCTTGCCTGACAAGAGAGCGCCAGCCATTGCAGGTGCCGGAACTGTCCCGCTAGACAAGGAGGGTTGCGAAGTCGTCGTCGGCGTGGCGGGCGTTGAAAGAGGTGATGACTGAGGTGCTGACTCCACGATCCACATTCGATGCGATCTTGTCGCCACCAGCTTGGCTATCGTATGACCCAATGTCGAATAGGGGTTTACGTAGAAGACTGGATAGACATCTTGTCCCTTTTCTACCCCTCTTTCGTTAAGAATGACAGAAATGAAGTGCATGCAAGAACTACCAAGCAAATATGCACTTGAGGAGCTTGTCAAATGTCGCACATCCTTTGTCGAAATGTTACCCACCACGTTGTGTCCGCTGTCTACAATTGCTACGCTTGAAAGGCCTTCCTCATACATGAGAGACAAGGCCTCGGTAAGGGGAGCGTCGGAGCTAAGAGCGCGTTAGTTCAGGCTCCCCAGAGACAATGACTGCTCCGCTCGCGGTGTTGGCTCTACTCACTGCACTGAGAGAACGGGCCGCACGCCAATTCCTAGGTCTTGCAGCGTGACTGGGTTGAGTCGGTCAATGGTGGGAAAATTGACCCCCTCATTCCAGAAGAATTCCACCATCCGCAGCTGGCTTATGATTCCAATGACATTCCCAGTCGAGTCGGTAACCAAAACTCTGTGAATGCCGCTCCCAAGCGTTTCTATAGCTTGAGATAGGTTCACACCTGAGTTCATCTTGACAATAGCTTCCCTGGAACATAAGGGTTGGATCTCGCGAAGTGAAATATGAGCACCTCCTTGAGCTTTAGTCATGATGTCATGGAAGAGCGTGGCTTGATCGCCCTCGGGTCGAGAAACCCCCACGACGGTGAGAAGATAGGCGTTGAGATCGTTGTAATCAAAGCAGAAGATCGGCACTGCGGTATGGGCTCCTTCTCTTACGAGTACAACGCCCGTTGGACTCTGCAGAAGCATCTGGTAGTGGAACGTAAGTACGGGTGGAAGTGCCATGAAGACTCTGAGGGGCTTGAGCTTACCAAGGTCGCCTCCTCCACGCTGGATTCAATGTCGATCCATCTCACGTCGTCAGGCGAAGTCAACTCTCCTATGGTGATATCTCTCCATTCCCGACCGACAAACTTGGAGTTTTGGTGCCTGCTAGTGGACGCTGGATGGATGAGAAGATCTTGAATCGCCGCGTGAGTTAGGGAGGGGTGTCGATGACGTGGCGAAGCTGGAGGATTGCGGAGATTCTCAGTGAAGCTCTGTCGATGGGAAGCTTTACTGATGCTCGAGCTCGAAGGCGATCTCTGTGGTGAGGGCGACGCCTTCGGCTCAGATAGCTTGGCGGATTTGTCTGATTCGGTATTGCTAGACATGCTGGATCCTGCCGCTGTCGTTTCCCTGTCCATCATTTGTCAATAGAAAGCCGTGCGATGAAGAAGAATTTGATGGAACAGGGCGAAGAGTTTCCCAAGCTGCATGCACAGGTGAAGCAAGGTTGCAGAGTAGCGGCAGCAATAAGAGAGGTAGGTACTAGTTGTTCAGGATAGCGTAGGAGGTAGGTAGTGTGCTAAGGGAGGAGGATATGGTTGCAGCATTGGGTACTACCTTAAGGTTCGTAGTGATTAGGTAGTACCTAGTAGGTACTAAGGTAGAGAGGTCATGCCTGTAGTTCGCTAAGGCGTCCCTACCTTCCTGACCTCGGCACCATCAGAGCTCACGCATGGCCTGCGGACAAGCTCAGGCTGGTGCCTACATGACCAGGTACCTCTGGCACTGGTACCTACCTTAGTTACCTACTACCTTAGGCGCTGCCTACTATAGGTACTACCTTACCTAACTCTTACCTAGGCACCCAAATACTTGAGGAGATGCAGTCATTGCCGATGGTTTCGACCGATTAGATAGTGCTATCGTGCTCTAGTTTTTCTTATCACACACCCAAAAAAGTACTGCACACCCTTCCCCTCCCCCACCTTCTTCTCACTTCGATTGCCGTATTACTGTCAAGTTTTCTTTTTTGAACTGCCCGCCAAGTGAGCCGTCATCTAACGAGTCTTCTTCCTGCGCTGATTGTCGAACATACTCGCTGGCGTAACTGCGCGGCGCTCTCGTCCGTTGGCCGTCGCAACCATGTCCCTCCTGTCGCCCGACGTGCATGCAGAGCTCACGCAGCTTTTGCAGGCGCTCCAGGCTTCCGACAATGGCATTCGATCTCAGGCTGAGGATCATCTCCAAAACAGCTGGACGAGCTCGCGCCCAGAGGTACTCTTGATGGGACTCGCGGAGCAGATACAAGCCGGTGGGGATAACGCGGTAAGCCTTCACCCTATATAACCCGCAGCTTTCTGATGGCTGAAGTATGAGCCTCTCCCTGACGTTTCTGCCCAGACTCGGTCGTTTGCTGCTGTCATATTCAGGCGGATCTCTTCGAAAACCCGAAAAACGGACACTGGAAACAACGTCGACATGTTCTATTCGCTAGCGAAAGATCAAGCCATCGCCATTCGCCAGAAGCTACTGGAGACACTCGGCTCTGAGACCGATCGAGCTGTCCGGAACAAAATCAGTGACGCTGTTGCTGAGGTTGCACGGCAATATACAGATAACAGTCAGCCTCCATAACAAGCATCCGCATCTCATGCTATGCTTCCCTCCATACTAATTCGCCACTAACACTTGTTGTCTCTAGACGATTCCTGGCCAGAACTTCTGGGAGCGCTGTTCCAGCTGAGCCAGGCAATGGAAGCCGAAAAGCGCGAGACAGCATACAGGGTGTTTGCTACGACCCCCGGAATCATCGAGAAACAGCATGAAGAAGCTGTCCTGCAAGCATTCCAAAGAGGATTCAAAGACGACGCGGTTCAGGTACAACAAAATGGTTTCTGTGATGCAGTACGTCGTACTGATGGTACTTCTGCTTAGGTCAGGTTGGCGGCCATGGACGCTTTCGCATCCTTCTTCAGGACGATCAGCAAGAAAGGACAATCGAAGTACTACGCTCTCATCCCCGACGTGCTTAATATCCTACCTCCCATCAAAGACAGCCAGGACTCAGATGACTTGAGCAAAGCTCTCGTCGCCCTTATTGACTTGGCCGAGACAGCTCCCAAGATGTTCAAGCCCCTCTTCCATAATCTGGTCCAGTTCAGCATTTCGGTGGTTCAAGACAAAGAGTTGGATACGATTTGCCGGCAGAATGCGCTGGAGCTCATGGCGACCTTTGCCGACTACGCCCCGTCAATGTGCCGGAAGGATGCGTCTTACACCACGGATATGATCACTCAATGCCTGAGTTTGATGACTGATCTTGGCGAGGACGATGACGATGCTACCGAGTGGCTGGCGTCCGACGATGTGAGTATCTTGCGAAGTCTGGCCTACACCAGTTAACCCTTGTTGACCGACTGTTACAGCTCGAAGCAGATGAGAGTGATCAGAATCATGTTGCTGGAGAGCAGACCATGGATCGCCTCGCCAATAAACTAGGAGGACAGACAATTCTTGCCCCCACATTCAACTGGCTTCCACGGATGATGACTTCCATGGCTTGGAGAGATCGGCATGCCGCTCTCATGGCCATCTCTGCCATTTCCGAGGGCTGCCGCGATCTCATGATAGGAGAACTTGGCCAAGTTCTCGACTTGGTAATCCCAGCCCTCCAGGATCCGCACCCTCGTGTGCGATGGGCTGGCTGCAACGCCTTAGGGCAAATGAGTACCGATTTCGCCCCCAAGATGCAGACCGATTTCTACGACCGGATCCTGAAAGCCATCATCCCCGTCCTAAACTCGCCGGAGGCTCGCGTGAAATCTCACGCGGCTGCAGCTCTGGTCAATTTCTGCGAGGAAGCAGAAAAATCCATCCTGGAACCTTACTTGGACGAGCTTCTATCTCACTTGTTTCAACTACTCCAGAGTGAGAAGCGATTTGTACAGGAACAGGCCCTGTCAACGATCGCAACTATCGCCGATGCCGCCGAAGCGGCATTTGCGAAATACTACGACACCCTGATGCCTCTTCTCGTCAACGTCCTTCAGACTCAGAATGAAAGAGAATACAGGCTACTACGTGCAAAAGCAATGGAATGCGCAACTCTCATCGCCCTTGCCGTTGGAAAAGAGCGCCTTGGCCAGGATGCCATGACTCTTGTGAATCTGCTGGCACACATCCAAACGAACATTACGGACGCAGATGACCCCCAGGCTCAATACCTTATGCATTGCTGGGGTCGTATGTGCCGCGTTCTTGGTACTGACTTCATCCCTTTCTTGCAGAATGTTATGCCACCACTTCTCGAGCTTGCCATGGCCAAGCCCGACATCCAGCTTCTGGATGACGATGAGCAGGCAGAACAAATGCAAGGAGAGGAGGGATGGGAATTCGTACCACTAAAGGGGAAAATGATTGGTATTCGCACTAGCACCATGGATGACAAGAATATGGCCATTGAGCTCTTGGTCGTCTATGCTCAGGTGCTCGAAGGCGCATTTGCCCCCTACGTTGCGACCATAATGGAGAAAATCGCACTGCCTGGCCTCTCATTCTTCTTTCACGACCCTGTCCGCTACATTTCGGCCAAGCTTGTCCCGCAGCTGCTGAGCTCCTACAAGAAGGCGTACGGAAACCCCTCGAACGAACTGACTGGCCTGTGGAACGCAACTGTCGATAAGCTATTGGAGGTCCTCACTGCAGAACCCGGGATTGACACACTCGCGGAAATGTATCAGTGTTTCTACGAGTCTGTGCAAGTCCTGGGGAAAGGGTGCCTGACAATGGATCACATGAATCGCTTCATCGACTCCGCCCTTTCTGCGCTCGAAGATTATAAGGACCGGGTTGCGGAGCGTGCCGATGCCAAAGAGGGCGCAACTGCTGATGACTTTGAGGATGAGGCAGAGGAGACTCTGATTGCAATCGAAGACGACCAGACTCTCCTGTCCGACATGAACAAAGCTTTTCATTCCATCTTCAAGAACCATGGCGTTTCATTTTTGCCTGCCTGGGAACGTCTTATGTCGACATATGAAGGCTTCCTCGCATCCTCCGACCCCACTCAGCGACAATGGGGTCTTTGCATCATGGATGACGTTTTGGAGTACTGTGGCCCGCAGAGTATTCGATATGCATCCTATATCCAGCAGCCTCTCATTGACGGCTGCCAGGATGCCTCTGCCGCAATTCGCCAGGCAGCTGCGTACGGCATCGGTGTTGCAGCACACAGGGGCGGCGCTGCATGGTCAGCGTTCCTCGGCGGATCCGTACCGTTCCTCTTCCAAGTCACACAAGTGCCCGATGCCCGGAATGAGGATAATGTATATGCGACGGAAAATGCATCGGCCGCTATTGCTAAGATCCTTCATTACAATGCGAGCAACGTTGAAGACGTTCCCACCGTGATCACGCGGTGGATTGATACCCTACCAGTCACGAATGATGAAGAAGCAGCGCCATATGCTTATGCATATTTGGCAGAGCTGATCGACCAGTGAGTAACATGCCCTGACTTCCATGTGCTGGGGGTGATGGAAACAGGAGCACGTGGCTAACATAGACTCGCAGGCAATATCCATCCGTGATGAACCAGGCCGGCAAGGTTTTTGTATTTATTGCGCAAGCCCTGGAGGCCGAAACGCTCCAGGGACAAACTGCCAACCGCGTAGCGGCCGCGGCGAAGATTCTTTTAACAGCTGCCAACGTAGACCCGATGCCACTGCTGCAGCAGTTCTCCCCAGAGTCTCAGCGAACGATTATGGGATATTTCAGCTAGCAGTGGCCCCTGGTCAAAGGGCCTCCCAAGGTATGCGCTGATTGATAGCCAGTGAACAAATACAAAGCATATTACAATCAATGCTTGGCAATTCGATGGTGCACTTGGGAAGTTGGAGGTTGGATGTTGGAAAAAAGTCAGTCGGACGCCGCTAAGATATAGCATTGGGTAGAGTGAATTACATCAGAGAAGGGTTTATATCTGCTTTAATGGAGGAAATCTAATGGTAGTTTTGGAAGGGATACCACATGAACACTTGGAATTATGCATTTCGATAGGTTACTGTATATACTGCAAGTTCAATATGATGGGGGTTCTAGATACCCGGATACCTGACATATTAGAAGGGAATATCTGAAAGGAACTACTAGTACACTACCTTCTGTACCTTATTTTCCATGAGGTTCCCATTACACCCCATACTGGGATAAGTACCCTGGTACCTAGGTTTATACTACTAGTATGTACCTAGGTAGGTACGAAGCAGTTGCCGTAAACAGTCTGGTGAAGTTTACTTATAATTCTGCCTTTTTATACCGCCTGCCCAATATGGTAGCGCGTCAGATCCTGCGTTCTCACGATATGGCTATCAGGCAGTCAATCTCTTCTTCATTGTATCTGCTTACATCCTGCGCGCAATCCTTTCGTAATCATTGTCTGAGCAAGTGCCCCTTCTCCCGCCAATCTCCCGCCGAAGCAGCCTCTGGCCTCCAAAGACGCAGGCAATGTCGTCCCCCGATCATCGTACCGGAGTGAAACGGCCTAGTGAGTGTCTCTCGTGCTGCTTGTCAAACTTTTGGCCGGCGAGACGTGGCTAATCTTTGCAATTTCCCGCAGGAACGCAGTCGCTCCCGCCGCCGTCATTGCCCCAGCTGGTTGCTGAACAGAAGACGCCGATTCCGGCCACCGACAAGGATTCCCAGCGGCTCATTGTCGTGCTCTCAAATGCCAGCCTTGAGACATACAAGGCTGTCCAGGGCGGTGTCAACCGGGCTGGGCTCCACCGGGAGGAAAAGTACTCGCTTCTCAACAGCGACGAGCATATAGGTGTTATGCGCAAGATGAACCGCGACATTAGCGATGCACGGCCGGACATTGCGCATCAGGTTGTGCTCCTTGGGCCCATGACGACGTGGAGGCACCCAGACTAATGTTCGCCAGTGCTTATTGACTCTCCTGGATTCACCAATCAACAAGGCCGGCAGGCTCCAAATCTACATTCACACAGCGAAAGGTGTGCTTATCGAGGTATCTCCCTCCGTGCGTATACCCCGGACGTTCAAGCGATTTGCAGGCCTCATGGTGCAGCTCCTGCACCGGCTCTCGATTCGCTCCACGACTTCCAACGAGAAGCTTCTGCGTGTCATTCAAAATCCGATCACGGATCACCTGCCGCCAAACTGCCGCAAGGTAACTCTGAGCTATGATGCCCCAGTAGTGCGCGTACGTGAGTACATGGAGACGCTTGGCCCCAAGGAGAGTATCTGCGTGTTTGTTGGAGCCATGGCAAAGGGTGCCGATACTTTCGCCGACTCAATAGTCGATGAGAAGATCTCCATCAGCAACTTCTCGCTATCGGCAAGTGTCGCGTGCAGCAAGTTCTGCCACGCGGCCGAGGATGCGTGGGACATTCTCTGAAATCTTGACCATGAGAAGTAGATTAGCTTGCTGATCGAATACAACTTGGCTTGACGTTGATACAACATCCCGTTTTGCCTGTGCTCAGAGTCAAGTACAGTATCGTCGGCGCCATGACTTGTTTTTCCAACAAAAACAGTCGGGCGCTGCCATGTGATTGATTTCCAGTGACAATGTCCGCGTGCTGACTTTTGGCCACGCGGATCTTACCCTTTCAGGCTTAGCCCAGGTTCCGATTTCTTCTCTTTTTTTCTTCTCTTTTTTTTCTTCCCTCTCTTATCCCCCTCTGTATCCGTAATCCGTTATCTTTCGCCCAGTAAGAAAAAAAAAGTAGAGATAAGGGACAAAAGCGAGGAGCAAGAACCTGTGAAGCAGAACTGCTGTAGAGCTGGCGCTCCATCCGTACCTATACATCTTCATTGATCCAGACTTCCTGTCTGTTAGAATCACTTCTACTTCCTCTTGTTTTCTTTTCCACCCCCGTTTCCGACGACGCTGCGCTAGTGCTTCAACGCACTTGAATATACACAATCGCTTAAAGGCACAATCTCAACCTCGCAGCATTACTAGTGACAGCACACGAAGTGGAAAACCCCAGGAGAACCTCTGCCTGCTTCTCATACGAGCCTCCACCTCTGGCTTGACCCCTTGAATCGATCACAATGGGTGTCGGAAACAAGCGCACGCTCACAAAAACGAGACGGAAGACGCGGTAGGGCATTTATTATATGGATGGGGCCATTACCCTCAAGCTGACCTTTGGTAGGGACGTGGACCAAGTCATCTCTGATCTCCGATCTCACAAACACCTGAAGCAATACAAAGACACCAAAGCGCCGGAGGACCTCCCCGGGCTGGGGAAGAACTACTGCGTTGCATGCGCCAGGTGGTTCGACACTCCCTTTACCCTGGCTACCCACGAGCGCGGAAAGCCGCACAAGAGAAGGTAAGTCTGCGTTTGCACTATGCCTCTGGTTTTCTTCGCCTCGGCTGACGGACTCTGCTAGATTGAAGCAGCTGCGAGACGAATCCAAGGCCACCTCAAAATCCGAACAGTCGAACGTCCTCGAATCCGACAAGCCAGAGACGGCGCAAGACTCTACTGATGGCGGCGTCGAAATGGTCCTGTAGTCTATTTCTGGATCTCCGTCGAACGGCCGTTGACGCCGTATGTTATACAAACCGCCATGGATTAGCACTAATCTTCGTCAAAAAGTCTCCTGCTATCTCAAAGCCCGCCCGCGCGGCCGTACAAGACCACTAGGCCGACTAGAGGAACGACTGCGGAGCCTGCCTCTTGCTGATGGCAGTCGAGACTGGCGTTGCTCAGAGGCATCACGCTTCAGGCTGGGTCCTGTCGATCTTGGAGGGCTCTCCACAAAAGATATGTCGGTCGTCCTTGGCTGCCGTCAGCAAACGGATGCAGTGCCTCGAGCCTTCGTCTTGGCGGTCGAGTCCTGGAAATGAGGCCGCTTACATATAGGTCGCTTCTCCGTCATGCCCGGGTTTCAGATCCGTACTGGGCTGACTGAGGTGCTGACGGTCTCGACGGAATGATTGAGGTATGGGGCACTATATATTAAAAGACAATACGAATCAGATCAAGCCACATCGACAGACAAAGTTCGCAGCCAGTAGCAGTAGCGGTAGCACCTCGGGGAAGTCAACGCAAAAGGCGTTCATGTTGAGGCCGTAGAGAAAGCTGGCGAAGGACTCGCCAAACCTAGCCAAGCTTTCGTCGATGAGTTGAAAGTGCATCATGTTGGCCTCGAGATCAGCCATGGAGTCGGAAAGCTCCGCAAACATGGGCTCCAGCCTCTTGAGAGGAAACGCGGCATCGCCGTCGCCTGTAGCATGAAGAGAACCGCGGAACGACGACTGTGACGGCGGGCGAAGGGGCGTGGTAGGTCGCGATGTCCATGCGCGCGGATCTGGATGACGTCCGCCGCTCTGGTGAACGTCTGGGGCTGTTGGTGGCACCATTTGCGGAAGCAATTCGCGTCAACAACTGGTCATAGGATATAGTTGGTGGTTTCTTGGTGAGAGATTGTGTGTAAGCCGAACGCGAGTTGTTGTTGTTGTTGTTGTTGTTGTTGTTGTTGTTGTCATATGTGACGTATCTGCTGGCGAGACGCAAGTACTATATCGAAACTGAGCACAAGTCTCTCTCACAGTCTAGCCCCTACAAGGACGCACTAAACCCCTCCAAAGGCTTGGACTGCAAAAGCATTAAAGGAAAAAGATAGGAAGGGGGGGAACAAAAGAGAAAAGAATTAAAAAAAGACGGATTATGTAATTTCAAGGTTAAGGTGAGCAGGCAACTGCCTTATACTGAAAAACTTCCTTGGCCGTACAAGTGAACCTCATGTACCAACATATATACCACCAATCTTTCAAGCTGTGAACCTCTCTCTTCCTTACTCACAGAAGCTTCCTTTGCACCTGGAATCAGCCACTTCATCGTTCATTGCTCTCGTATAACCATCCGGCACCATGGGGGCCGAACAGTCCTCGAATGCGGGATCGCGCCGTACCGACACTGAGACCACTCAAAGAACATGCTACTACGAACTTTTAGAAGTTGAGAGGACTGCCACTGATGTTGAGTAAGCTCTCCGTGAGAACATTCTCTCGCCAGCTCAGTTATTCATCAAATGTCATTAGAATAAAAAAGGCATATCGCAAGAAAGCCCTAGAACTGCATCCAGATCGCAATTTCAACAATGTTGAAGCGGCCACCAAGAAATTCGCAGAGGTGCAAGCTGCCTATGACATATTGTCTGACCCTCAGGAGAGGGCCTGGTACGACTCACATCGCGACAGCATCCTCAGTGGCCAGGACGATGCTCATGACGGATCTGCGCCTCCGACATTCCACAATGTTCGCCTCACGACGGCAGACGACATCATGCGTCTCATCTCCCGCTTTAATACCACCGTTCCCTATACTGATGATGCCAACGGCTTCTTCTCCATCACGAGAAAGACGTTTGAGCACCTCGCTGAAGAGGAAGAGGCTGCTGCCGACTATGACGGCACCGAGTGTCCCGATTACCCGACCTTTGGCTCATCCAACAGTGAGTTTGACAGCACTGTGAAACCTTTCTATAGTGCCTGGACCAATTTCACCACGAAGAAGTCGTTCATGTGGCAGGATAAGTACCGCCTCTCAGATGCTCCGGATCGCAGGACCAGACGATGGATGGAGAAGGAAAACAAAAAGATACGAGACGACGCAATCCGAGAGTTCAACGATGCTGTTCGTTTTCTCGTCTCGTTTGTCAAGAAACGAGATCCACGCTACGCGCCAAACAGCCAGAGCGAAGCAGATCGCCACAAGTCGCTTCGGACCGCCGCCGCTGCGCAAGCTGCGCGATCACGGGCCGCTAACAAGGAAGTTCATGCGTCATTCGAGGTCCCAGATTGGGTTCAGTCCAAAGAAGACGGGAATGAGGAGGCTCAGCCATCAGAGACTGAGGAGTCGGAAACCGAGATCCTGGAATGCGTGGTCTGCAATAAGCGGTTCAAGAGCGAAAAGCAGTTCGAGTCCCACGAGCGCAGCAAAAAGCATATCAAGGCTGTCCAGGACCTGCGGCGCCAGATGAAGAAAGAGGGGGCAACCTTCGACCTGGAAGCAATGACTGCCGATGCGGAACCGTCACGGAACGACGAAGATGCTGCAAGTGTAGGACCGGAGAATGCGTCGTCTTCACCAGAGGAGAAGCCAGAAGAAGGATTGGGGCAATCGAACAAGCAGGCGGATGAGCAGGAAGCAGTCACTCAAAACGAAGCATTACCAGATCAGAGTGCATCAGGAGCAGACGAAGAAGCAGCAGCTGATGGCGAAAAGCTCCATGAGACGTTCGACAGGTTGAATCTACAATCGACAAATGGAGACTCGATTCACATCGATCTGGACGAGGACACACCGGGCGATTTATCCGAGCAACCTCAGGAGCCTTCGATTGACGACACGAAACCGAAAGTCAAGATTGGAAAGGCAAAACTCAAGCGGCAGAAGAAGGCTGCGGCCATGGTGGCCGAAAACGAGGTAGGTTTCGTATTCTCATGGGCTGATGACTAGGTTCGAACCTGTAATGACCAAACCCTGACACAGCATCGGTGCAACGTCTGCACGGCTGCATTCGACTCCAAGACGAAGCTATTTAAACATATCCGCGACCTCAACCACGCCGCTGCCCCTGTCCAGCCGGGTGGCGCAGGCAAAAGGAGGAAAGCGTGAAGGCCTCGTCATCCGACATGTTGCATGTTTATATCGCCGCTTCTTCTGTCAGATGCTGGCACATGACGAGGGATATCAACTAGATGAAGCACCGTAACGCCGGTTATGATTGCTGGTAGAAAAAGAAAGACGACGACAACGGTCCGTAAATAGCAGAAGGCGTGCCTTGTCTGAAGGAGGTTGTCGACGGCCTATCACGTTGTCGCCACGTCGTCGACATCATCTTCATCGCTCAGGATCTCAACCTCATCCACGGCACCATCCCTGCCCTCGCTGCTGTACAACGCGGGCTCGTGGTCCGCCACGTGGATGATCGATTTCCCTGGGCCGCTCTCTACACGCTGCCTCCATTCGGCCCAGTCGCTCTCGGACCGGATAAGGAAGCCTATCAACATGCTGGGGTCCATCTCTTTGACGTGAAGCCGACGCAGTCTCGAGGTATGGCATGAATCAATGTCTTCATCCGTATAGTTTGCTACATCTTCATGGTACGGAAGGGCCTTTCTTGTGTGATGAGGATCGAGATAGAAGAGGTAGCTGCCCTGGCTGCCGACGAAATAGTGGGAGGACGAGGGACGGCCGCTGAGAATTAACATTAGCTGCAGCTGTTTCTACATCAATGGGAGTACTTACCCAGCAATGCCGACCGACTGTGGCATCTGGAGAGTGGCGATCAAGGGCTCCCAATATATCGGCGTGATCTTGTCAATACCGAGGCGCGTTCGTATGAGAATCAAAGTCGGGTGAAAGTCTTGGCCATCGGGCTTCGCAACCTTCATGAAGCTATCCTCGTAGACGTCCTGCCCGTCATTCGGAGAGTATACATGCAGGTCGAGGTCTGAAGAGCTTGTAAGGGCTCTTTGTGTGTTCTCACATGTTAGCAGCAATATCACATGTTGGAGCTTCGGGAGCGTTTTGGAAGAATCGGCATACTGGATGCACTGCGCAGTGGCAGACGGGCCAAACCACTCGCCCGGGAATTTCCCACAAGCAGTAGCCCCGTGGCGTACGAAGTTGTGGATCGAAAAGGGCGCCCTTGGGTCGTCGGCAAACATGCTGATGAGCCGCCGTTCCTCCTGCTGATTCTTGCCGCGTCGCCAGTCTAGAGGAGTGTTCCAGGTTAGACCTATGTCTCTTCTCTTCTCTTCTCTTCTTCTCTTCTTCTTCTCTTCTTCTCTTCTTCTCTTCTTCTCTTCTTCTCTTCTTCTCTTCTTCTCTTCCGAAGACAGGAGTCCATCTTAGGATATCAAAACATACCTCTTCCAAGTTGAAGCGTGGCAATAGTGGTAGCGAGAAGACTCTGACCGGAACGAATCATGCAACCCCAGCCGCTGTCGGAAGAGAAACCGGTGGGATCTGTGAGCGTGCTCTTGATCCTCACGGAAAACGAAAGCGCAGAAGTAGCCCTCGGGTCGACGGACTTTGGTATAGGCTCAAAGCCAGATCTATATGTCATCCAGAACTTTGCCGCCATGTCCTCTGTAAACCCTGGAGGCCACCCGTTTTCCAGCGGCAGCTCCTCACCCGCCGCCGCCGCCGCCGAGGACGAGAGGCTGCTCGAGGCGGACGCCGGCGGTGTGTCCGGCGCATTTGCAGCTGCGTTTGCACTTGCAGACGGCTTCGATGCGGGCGGCGGCGGAGGGCTCTGGCTCGGAGACGACACGCCCGTCTCTGCGTCGTGGCCGGCCTGTTTCGTCGTTGCTTGCACGGCTTCGGTTCCGGAGCTGTGATGCCTGCTGGGGTCGAGCTTGTAAGAGCGGCCCAGGCACCAGACGGGCTCGTCGCTGTTCACATCGTTGGCCGGCTCGGGGTCCCAGAACATCTGCATGATTCGCCGGTACCGTCCGAGGTCGACGCCGATGTTGGAGTCCATGGTTTGATGGTGCAACGACGGGAGTGTTGAGAGGAACGAGGTTCGCGGCGGGCGATGTTGTCACTGGAGGTACGGGAGCAGTAGGTACCTGTAGGCATGTTCATGTGCCGCTGGCGGCCGACTTACCTTATGTCATAGGACTCGCCTGTTGCCTAAAGCAGTAAGTACTTGCTTAGCAGCCAAAGGTTCAGGGTTCAAGCTCACAGAGATGGGCAACTTGCGAGTCTTCACACCACTGAAAGGCAAGAAACAGTGACATTCTTTTTGCGAGTAACGAACTATATAGAGTAGTATCATTTCTTTCTTACATTCAGCCAGAGGTTCTCGAGCTGTGGTCGAGATATAGGTACCTAGCTACCTATAAGGTATGTATGTGCCGTAACTGGAGTAGGCGGTACATGCAAAGTGCTGGAGACCCAACGCCGATGCTTACCTAAGGCAACGCCCCAATAGAGTGGTCGCGTGCATACAATGACATACAAGTACCAGGTATGCCCGTCATTCATTCATTCATTCGTTAATCAACCTGAAGCCTCGCCCAGTAGCAACCCTTGATGCCTGAAGAGTCATCCCATGGAATCTCGACTATGTAAATCCATAGTTTGCTTCTTCGTCTCCTTCTTCTCCTCTTCTTCTGCCATTCAAACGCATATAAACCATCTTTTCTTGTTTCAATATATACACCACTCGGTTCAGACACGTCCATGATTCACAATTCAGATGCCCAACCCATAGAAGGAAATGAGACTGCCGGCGCCGCATCTCATGCCCCTGCGAACCCGGTAAAGCTCGGAGACTTCAGCAGACTCTTTGCCGAGTATCTCGATCCTCTTGCTCTCGCCTCGTCCTCGTTCTCGTCCTCCTCGTCATCCGACGGGAGCGACGACTACTACTACGACGATGACTCCTCGCCCGCCCTAAAGGCCACCAGCTTGTCGTCGGCAGCGTCCGATCGTATTCCCGACCAGTCGCTCGATGACGCCACCCAGGCTCGGTGTCTCAACAACAATGCATCTACCAAAGCCTCTCGCAAGAGCGCCGCCGTCGCCCATGGCTCCCCGCGAAAGGCCAAGCATGCCCCAGCGAGAGCTGGTGGCCATTCTGGAATATTAGCATCTTCTCCGCCGTCGTCTCATCGGCGCTGTACCTGCAACCGGGGGCTTCGGGCGATTCAGCAGCCCGTCTTGCTGGCTGCGTCTCTCCCGGAGTGCCCCGAGTGCTCGCCGTCGGCTAACACCGCCGCGCACCACTCTCGGTCTTCGACCAACAGCAACAACAGCAGCAACACCAAGCAGCCGCGAGAGAAGCCCCGTCTGAAAGATGACAAGCACAGGGCGCTCATGATGGGCCTCGTCCCGCATCGGGCCCGAGACGCCGCCATAGCTGAAAAGCTGCCCGAAATCGCGGCGCAAGGCGTACACGTCTTCGTCGACATGTCCAACATCGACATTGGCTTTCAGAGCACGTTGAAGGAGGCTCGGCATCTCGACGAGCATGCTCGTCTATCGCCTTTGCCTCACCTCAACCTGCAGTTCCTGACCAAGATCCTCGTTCGGGATCGGCCAGTGGTCGCCCTCAATGTGGGTTGCTCTACCGTCCCGGGCCGTTCGGAGCCTCGCTACGTACAGCAGCTGCGCGACCTGGGCTACCAAATCGATCTGCGGGAGCGCAAGAGGGTCATCGAAGTCGGACTACCCTTGGCTGGAGTGCCAGACACTCTACGCTTTGTTGAGGACCTCGTGGATGAGACCTTGCAAGTCCGCATCGCCGAGTCCGTCATGGAGTACTTTCGTACTCCGGGAACCATCGTGCTTGCTACCGGGGATGCCAAACCATCTCCGCATTCCGATGGATTCTTTTCGTGCGTGCAAAGAGCGCTCAAGATGGGTTGGAACGTTGAAGTTGTCTCCTGGCGAGGCAACCTCTCCCTCCGATGGATTGATAAGCAGTGGATGTCTCAGTGGCGTGACAAGTTCCGCGTCATTTTACTAGATGACTTCTTGGAAGTTTTGCAGTGAAATTGTGCAGATATACAGATGTAGAACCGTCCTTCTCTGCCGGTATCTGCCGGTGGGGTCACAGAATATACCAAGAGATGAAGTGCTTCATGTACGTCGTCGTCTATTCTTCTAACTGGAAGGTCATGATTGCTACTTGCCTACTAGCTACTGGCTCCCGGTATGACCGCATCATCAACTTGGATTTCTAAAAAGCCAGCGACACGTCCATTGCGTAGGACAGAAGTTTGGGGGGGAAGGAAAGGGGATAAGGTATGTAGTATACAGGCAGTATATATATATACAAGTGGTATCGTTTGCATCCGCCGCCAAATAAAAAAACACATATTGCTTCCAAGACTGGGGTAAAGGGGTAAGGTGCCTGGTATCCAAAGAAGAAGAAAAATATGGCTCAATCACCATATACAAGTGACCGGGCACGATGTCGCAAAATTCCGCTAGACATATGCTGTGGCAGATCAAGCTAAAGATGGGGTAAAGGTCGTGTACGGTGGTTGGGCATGACTGTACATGTAGCAAGTGAGAAAGGGGAACCAGAATAGAAGGGAAGAAAAGGTTCGAGAGGTAGGCCAGCCTCTTCTCGCATCAAATGAGCAAGCCAAAGCAAAGGTAAATGATGAAAGCACCCAATCTCAGCCAGTCCGATCATGTTTGGCTGCTTTCGCGCTCTTCTCGTATCGATGTCATTCCCGAGCTGACAGCTCCGGGGGCTAGGGATGATTGACTTGGAGGCGGCATGGTGGAGGAAGCATGCGGCCCAGCCATCGAGCCCGTGCCACCCGTGGCCACAGCGATCTTGCTCGCTAGCTGCTTAGGGTCCAGGAAGTTCTCGCCGTTGCTGTGTATTGGATTTGGCGTTTCGCTCCTGTGCAGCGGCGAGGAATGGATGGGGGACGTCGACTTCTTCGTGTAGGTGTCAGTGTTGACGCTGTGGCTTCCTCGCGTGGAATTGCGAGGGGAAACTCGACCAGTCTAGTTTCAGACGTCAGCAACAACATCGTATTTGATAATAGGGAGGGGGGGGATAGGCTGCTGGTTCTCACCTGTTTAGCCCACCGTAGGCCACAGCTATTGCACAGGTCTCGCTGTCCACTTGGCCCTCTCCGCCATTCTGGGGTGTTTCGGGTGTGGCAGTTGGCACAATCGCGCGCCACATTTCCTACCCCCTTTCTTCTTTTCCGCTTCTTCTTGTTCGACAGCAAGCCCCCAAGCTCCTCTGCCAAGATGCGATTGATCTTCTCCATCTGTCGAAGCTCAAACTGCCAGCTTGAGCATTTGGTGGTCCTGAGTTCGTCAAAGATGTTGTCGTCAGACGCCAGAGCAGCATCCTGGGAGCCTGGGACAAGCGTTCCGCCTGCCGGCTGAAGGATCGGGCCACCATGGCCCGCCCCCTGGTGCTGGCCATCAGCCCGTAATGAATTGGCGGCATATGACGCGTTTGCGGCAGTGAGAGTCGATGGAGCATGGCGGGACGAGGCTTTCAAAAGCTTCGTTTGAGCCAGGACAAAGGACGGCTTCTGGCCTTCTGAGGCGTCCCCGGGGTACAGGATGGTTTGAGCCTGGAGCCCTTGCCCTCGCCGATTGAGCATCTCATGCTTGCATGTGGATATCTTGCCCTTTCTTGCCTTTTCAATCGTACGTCCAAACTCTGCCCGCGATTCCTTGCGCATGAGCTCTTGAATGCTTGTGCCGACCAGTGATTCGGGCTGCAAGTCCAAGAGGGATCTGATGTTTGCCGAGACCGAGAGGAACATGCCCGACGTGGAGAGTTTGCTCCAGAGCTCGCTATCACCGATACCGCCGTTCGCTTCCAAGGTGTGTCTCCCGAGGGCGAAGACGGGTCGCTTTCTGCCAACTAGAATGATGCACTTGCGACCCCTGCCCTGATCGACGAACAATGACCCATGGCTCTCAAACCAAGTATACCCGCTCTGCTTCCGCCGTATCCTGAAGACAATGTTGACCTGGCTGCCCGTTGTTGCGTCTTTCAGCTCCCGTGTCACCGGAACTATATCAGAGGGATGGCAAACCGAAGACAATGGGTTTCCAACCAGGTCGGCGGCGTCGTATTCGAGAACGCGTTTACACGAGGGCGAAAGGTATAAGAAGAGGCCCTTGAGCGATATGACGTGGACCACGTCATCGGTGTTTTCGAGAAGCATCTTATCCCAGGACTGCCTATGCCAGTCCGACACAAGCCCATTGGGGTTGAACTGCTGTAGGAGGGTAGAGACGTCGTCCACGCCGAGTGTTTGTCCGTTGTCAGCCTCCAACTGATTGGACACTGGCGGAGTCCATATGTATTGACCAATGTCGCTGTGCTTGTAGTTGACTTTGACGCCGCCCATTTCCTGGCCAGAAATGGCGTCGGGACATTCGACGAGGTCGATCTGGAAGCCGATGAAGTATCTGATCTCATCGGTATCCCACGGGATAGGTATCATTGTCAGTAGGTTCAGAAAAGGCTTTCCGCCCTTGCGATAGTTGATCAAGCTCTGCTGCACCTCTCGTCCCTCCTGGATCATCCTCTTGAGGTTGTACACGGCTCCGTCATCGACAAATTCTCGTTTCGACCCAGCCTCGACCTTTCCATCGGGTGCCTGAAGAAAGCGACAGTTTTGGCCCATGATCTCGTGGCGGCTGTACCCAGTGAGGTTCTGGAAATTATCTGACACGTATATGATGGGGCAGTCATTCATCGTGACATCACAAACGACAAAGGCACAGGACATGTCGACAGCGCCGAGGTGGATCTTGGGGTTCTTGCGAGTCGCGACCAGCCACAGCGCCTTGAGCATGTCAAAGCCGCTTTTCGAGTAGATGGTCTTTTCCTTGGGCTGGTCACTAGAATTCGCAACCGGAACCGGGGTCGCGGACGCAGAGCTCGGCTGAGCCATTTCCATCGATGCAGTGCTTTGCTGGGTCGACAGGGCAGGCACCGATCCAGGGAGGGGAGAAGGCATGTTTGGCTCAAATGCCACCATGTCCGATTCCATGGCAAGGTGAGAAGGGCCAGCAGTCATCGTCGGGAACTGCGGAGGTGGAGCATTCATCATGTCTTCGTCGTGCCCCAATGCCATGCCCTTGTGGCCCCCGTTTGAGCGACCACCGAGTGATGCGCCGGCACCGGCGCCAGTCAGGGCATAGCCGTCACCGCCGGATGCTAGCTGGCTTGCATCCATCTGGCCAGCGATGGACGTGGCAGCCAGATCTGATGCTTGGCCACTTGTGCCGGGAAATAGGTCCATGGCCGAAGGCTCGGCAGTAAGTCCGTCCATGTCCATATTCGCAAACTGGGACTGCATCATGGTGCCTATGAGATCCTGGGGCATGGCCGGGAAGTTACCGGCATCGCTCACGTAACCGCCCATCGGATCCTGCATGCCCATGCTGGCGCCCATGGCCGAGAAGGAAGTTGGCATTTCCGGATCGAACTGATAATTGCCAAAGCCAGCAGGCCCCGCGTCGAAGGTCATCATGTCTCTGGGCCCGATCGTCGACATGCGTCGAGGCGGGTTACCCTGCGACGCAGGTCCCAAGGTGTTGCCGTAGGCCTGAGGCATGCTCCTTCGTCGTTGAATGTCATGGTGGCCGTCGCGCATCACGTCATCCATGTGGCCGTCCGGCATCACGGCCTGGCCTGATATCATGGGGTTGGACATGGCCTGTCGTGACTGCTGGAGCTGCTGCTGGAGCTCGGGGGGCAGCGTGTGATCCTGCATCGACATGGCTAGAACGTTGTGGGAGATGTGAGTCGGCGGCTGTTCGTCCGGCGGATGTGGCAGTTGGCCGTCCAGCTGCTGGGGGGGCAACTGGTTCGTCTGGTAGTAGCCTTCCATGGCGGCAGCATCTGTCCAAGTGCACAAAGATTCACAGTCTCGCTCGGCAAAGAATGAGGGAGAGGCGAGGCGTCGTCGATGTGGCGTCGGATCGCGGTTCCAGTCGTCCGTCTATCGTCGCTTCGGTGGGCACAAATGAGGGTTGGGACGTGATATGAGCTGATCCGACCATGGGCATGCGGGGTGGAACACGGGATCGAGCTTCTGGTTCGGCAGTCGAAGTCGCTCGGACGAGGCTTGCGACGCTGTGTGTCTGGGCCGCTGGGGGTGTAACAGACGGCGACGCGGGCGAGGGTTTGCGGCTGTGGTTGCGGCTGTGGTTGCGGCTGCGGCCTTGTTGTGTGAGAAGGTCGAATATCGGATATCTCTGCACAGCACCCACCACCTTTTTCTCTAGCCAGCAAAGATGCGACCGCTGCGCTGCCGGCTAGGCGGAGGATCAAGCGACCCCTCGACGAGCGCGCTAGGGGAAAGGCGCGAGGGACAGGGCACGTCAGCTGCTGGCAAGCTGAGGATTTGGCAGCGTCCCGACACCAGCATCTGTCATATGTAGCTCGTCAAGTCGATCCGGCGATGCGGCGTTGCATGGGAGACGTCTGGGGGACCGCAGTCCTACAGGCAGGTCAGATCCTACCTACAGGACTATCCCTTAGGTAAGGCAGTGCCTACCTACCTGCCTGCCTTACCTACTAGTGATGTACAACTACAACTACGACTAGTATACTCCGTACCTACCACCTGCAGGTCGTGCTAGCAGGACTGTACCTTGCCTGTAGGTCAGACATGTGCCGACCTGTGTTTGCTTTGGAAGCCGTCGCCTAAGACGCTAAGGTATTACCCGGGTCTTAGCAGCATGTGCGTACTAGTACCGCTACCAAGGTAGGTACTAGGGTATTATTGTTTGTTTGTATGCCCATGTGTGCCTACCTTACCTTAGTAGCACATGTAGGTACTTGCTGCTCAGCTGCGGCACGCCTCTTTCCCGCTCGCTGTGGTGGCTCCTTCCCTGCCCTGTCAAGGCATTGCCTACCTTCCTAGTCCCTGGCAACGGAGCATTACATCCGTCCTCCCTCCCACCAATCTGGCTCTCGATGTGTATCTGCATGCAACCGCGTCCCAGTCCATCGGTGGAGCCCCGCGTCCCATTTACATTTACGGGTAACGTCGATGTACAGGTACATGCTCTCTATCACCGCTATACATACAGCCGCAAGCACCTCATGGCTCCGACCATCCTTTCCTTACCTACCTCAAAGGTATGTATATAAGCAGTCGAGATAATATCTTACATACATGCAAACGCTGTCGCTCACGGCGCATAACATCGATCTCTTGCAGCATGCGTCGGACACTCCAAAGACCACCTGGTCACATCTCCGTTGACGTGACAAGGCAAAGAATGTCGGTGTTGAATGTGCGTCCAGATTATGTAACGCGCCCACAGCAGACGTAACCAGGCAGTATTAGTCGCCGATAGGAAGAAAGAAGAAAAATAAAGAAAGAAAAAAAAAAAAAAAAGGGCTCTCGTTCCACAGCTGCATCCATACAAAAAGTCGACACCTCACGAGGACAATTGGTGGCAACAAATGATGGAGACTCTTCGGCTGTGTGAGTTCCGATATCTAAACTAACAGACTACTGTATCGCTCATCCCCGTATATCTCAGCGCAAAAGGTCGCTTATGACTCTCGAATCTTGACGACAGAGCTGTTAGTCCCACTGGTTCCAGGGTATTTCGCGATAGTGCTGCAGCCTTGGTCCATGAAATGCTGTGCAACCCAACAATGACCCAGCACTGTGGTGTTAGTGGAGAGGATGCATCCTCGGCTATCAAATTCGACCGACTTCGCAGTAAAAGAAGACTGTCCGTCAATGTCCATCAATGTATGTACGTAGGCCGGCGGCAGTTCTCGACGGTGGCGTCTGTGGATGCATTCGGCCAGGAGAAACAGATTCACGAATAGCTCCATCAACGCGCATTCGGAATCTCACATTTGTCACATATCATGCAAGGCTGCACCTAAGCTGAAGTAGACCTCATACAAACAGCGCGTAGAAAGCGTGGTAGAAGACACAGCTCCTTATCAAAACATGGCCGCAAAGGGCGACCTTCTCGCCAAGTCCACATGGGTCATCCCTTGAGAATGTCGCGGCTTTCCGACGAGAATCAACCAGGGCCAATACGCAAACGGGAGCTGTGCGACACGCATATACGGGAGACTCATGACCATTTCCCCGGCCCCTCCCCCCTTTCAACAAGCTGTGACACACAGGCAGCGTTCAACTGGCCATCCGCCTTCTGCCTGGGACACCGTCTCAAACAGATCTGCAGAGTCAGCGAGCGATGCTGCTCCTTGGAATTCCTGCCCCCTTATACTATCCATACCTACGGAGTACCATACAGTCTCACACAAGAGACATAGACAGAAACCCCCTGAGCAGAAACGCACGATGAAAGCTCCAGCATGGTTATCCGGCATCCGCCTTCGCCTTCGCTTACTGGCCGTGGTGCCTGTGGTCATCGTCACATACATCGTCACCTTCGTTGCCATTGACGAATTCTTCTTCGCCTCCAACAGGATCAGCGTCAAAACCGTCCCGGTCGAGAGGGGCGGCGGCACCGAATATGGACGCCTGGGATCGACCAATGCCATGGAGCTGGACTTCGGAAGAGTGGCCAATAAGACGCTGGGATTTGAAAAAGTCATTGCCATTGGCCTCCCGGAGCGGTCAGACAAAAGGGATGCCTTGGAACTGATGGCGTCGTTGACCGGCTTCGATATCGAATGGGTGGATGGTGTAAAGCCCTCTAGTATCCCCAACAAGGCTGTGCCGTACGGCATCGATCCAGCGGCGATTCGAGACAACTTCCTCGGGAGCTGGAGGGGCCACATGAATGCTATCCGGCAGTAAGTAGTGTGAAAAGGGTCACGCTCTCATATTTGGTTTACCGAGGGCCCTACTTAAGAGAATATAGAGTCGTCGAGCAGGAGATTGGCTCAGCGCTCATCATCGAGGATGACATGGATTGGGACATCCACCTCAAATCCCAACTTCATGATATCGCACACGGCGCCCGTCATATACTGCGCGAGGCTTCGACGCTGCCTCACTCCCCCTACGGCGATGGCTGGGACGTCCTGTGGCTGGGCCACTGCGGCGAGCCCTTTCCAGAGACGCTTCAAGAAAATGCCGGGCTGCCGTTGGACGACAGGGCAGAAATGTCGGCCAAATACATCATCCACGACGATGAGACGGTGCCGCCTTACAGCCAAGTATCCAAGCTCGTGGACTGGTCACAGTATCCGCCGCGTACGAGGATCGTCCACACGTCTGCGGCGCCCATCTGCACCTTTGCGTATGCCGTTTCCCAAAGCGGAGCGAGAAAGATCCTCTACGGACTCAGCGTGGATGGCCTGCACATGGCCTTTGATAACTCCTTAGCACAGCTCTGCAGAGACGCCGTGTATGGGCTGGGACGGAACCAGAGCAGCGGTCTCGACGTAAAGTGCCTCAGCGTCAACCCCACAATCATGTTCCATCACAAAGCAAAGGGACCGGTATCTGCCGGCAGCGACATCCAGAATGTTGGTGGCGACGGCAGTGTCCGTGACCAGGGCGTGACTGAATCCATTCGATGGAGCATGAGGCTGAATCTGCGCAACATACTGACCGGCAAAGAGCTGGAATCGCAGTTTTAGCAATTTCAATGTTATTACGTGCCAAGTACATAAGCAGCCTGCGGCACCTACAAGCCTGCGGTAGATCAATGCGTCGAGTGCATCTATTTGAGCCTTGACTGTCGAGCCAGAGAGACCCCCTCGTCCCGTTAAGCATTACCCGTGGCCCCCGATTCCGGCGCTCGTCCAGTCATTGGCAGTTCGAAATACAGGTTCATGATCCCTCCAGGTACTGTACGGCAGCATACCATTCCATACCGTAAATCCGGGTTACTCCAAAACACCGCCCACCCCAATAATCGCCCTTTGTGCGTAAGATACAGCAGACTGAAAGCATGAGGATGCTTGCACACACTTCCCGGGCAAGCCGAGTGAGTGCAGAAAAGAGAGCTACAGCCCGACGTCGTTCTTTAGACGTTCAGTGTCTTGGCTCAGATTTTGGAAGAACAACTCCAGAGCACGAGCGGCCTGTGAGACGACCGGAGACTCGTCGGGCTGCTGCTCAGTACGCCGCAGTTTCTGTCGCAAGGCAGTCAACTGCTCATCCCTCTCTTTCCGCTTCCTCTCGCGTTCGGCCAGCCATTTACCCCGTCCAGCAAGATATTTGGCGCTGTGGCCGAGCCCTGAGCTCAGCGGCGAGAGGCCTTTGGTGGAACGGTCGAGAGGAGCAGCGGCAAAGAACAGCACTCGTCCAGCCTCATCGTGCTGGAACGCCTGCCGGACTGCTGGGGGCAGGGTCTCGTTGATGTTATCTGGCAACGTGTAGACCTCGGGGGGTCGCGGTGGGTTATACATGTTGCCATGTGCCTGAGGCATGCCGGGCGTCCCCACGCCTGGGGGCCTAGGAATTGCGGCATTGTGGCCCTGCATGTATCCTGTCGGTCGTGGCATCGGTGCCGGCTGGTGGTGCATGGGCAGCACTGGTGATGGGGCATAGCCTGGGTTGTAGTTCTGCATGTATGCGGGCTGAGGAGGCTGATATTGTTGGTATTGCAATGGCCGCATCGACATGTGCGGTGGCGGGGTTTGCTGTGGCGGGTGAGGTATCGGCACCGGCGTCTGTGGTATGGATGGCCCGGCGCTTGGAGGGACCGGCTGGAAATGTGGTGTGTGGTGGTGTCCGTAATACTGGCCCGGAGGTGGCACTGCACCAACCATGGCATAGGGCATGGCTCCGTTTCTAGCTGCCTCACTCGTGGCGTCTTTCACCCCGGGATTCATGGGAAGGCGCTGCATCGGCTCCGCGGGTATCTTAGGGTGGGCAGGCATCGTAGGCATCATTGACTCTGGAGGAGGCGATTCCTATTTGGCGTAATTCATCTCTGGTCAGCTAGCTGGAGATACTCGACATATCAAGTGCAGTTATCAAGTAGGCCCGAAGTCCATCTCATATGGCCCGTAAGGAGGGAAAGCAGGTAAGAAAAGAAAACAAAACAAGCAAGGACTAATAAAACAGGGAAACAACTCGAACAGGACGAATTCTACTCACATTGGGCCCCGGTGGCCGACGATGGACGGCGCCGATGATGGGGGGCGCGTTCGGGCTTCCCCACGTTGGTCGCGGGAGCTCGTCCGTCTCCTTGGCATCGTCGCGCAGGAGATGCTTGATTGGGCTGGGTATCTTCTTCATCGGACGAGGAACGTCGAACAAATCCATCTCGTAGTCTTTGTCTCGCACCTCATCTGGTAGGCAGCTGGCCCAAGTCTTGATCTTGTTGAAGTAGAACTTCTCCTCGTTGTACCGAGATTCACAGACGTAGATTTCCTTGTCTGGCGCTAGTCCGCGCGGCCGTCCCCTGTTGAATCGAGTGACAAACATCACGTAGCAGCGGTCAATGACGTCCGCAATCGGATGATCACGGTACTGGCCCGTCTTGACAACCTCGCGTTCGTAAAAGTGCTTTTCGAATCGATGAACTGTCTGCTCTGGCCTGTAGTACCAGCACGCGTTGATCCACTTCTGGCCCTCGCGATCCTGCCATGTGCGGAAGATCTGCGCGACAATAGGCTTCGCTAGGTCGTTGGGATTGCGAATATGCACCCAGTCGCCTGCAGTTACCACCAGAGTCAGCCCGAAAAGTGTCCGTCGGGAGAGGGAAAGGAGAAAGAACGAAGAAAGAACGAAGACCGCAAAGGCAGGGGGCAAAGGGGGTCCGAAAACTGACCAACTCTCCAAGTTTCTCCGTTGTACTCAATGCTTGACAAAGGCAGTTTCCCATCCTCATCTCGGAAATCGTCGTCTGGCTTCAGCTTTTCTTGTTCTGCCAGTACCCGAGCTTGCTGCTGCAGCTTCACAGCGGCCTCATACACCGGGCTGCCATCCTCGTTGTACAGCTTGGCATTCTCGAACATGAGCTCGAGGTCCGATAGCGCCTGGTCGACGCTTTGATACTTCTTCCGCTTCGCCTTCTTCTTGATGTTGTCCAGCGCAATGGGGTTCGAGATTATCTGGTAGTAGTCCGGAACGATGGCCTTGTCCGGAAGCCTATCGAACGGCGCAGCAAGCGGATTCCCGTCTGCATCCTTGATCTTCCTAAGCTCTTTGAGGACGGAGAAAATCCTGGCTTCCGTTGGGGTAAGGACCATCGGCGGCCGGCCTCTTTTCTGTTGGAATTTTGCATCTTTACCATTTGCGCGGCTCGCTCGATCCGATGTGCGGCGTCGTCCATTTCGCCCTTTGTAGTCTTCATCGTCGGAATCCTCGTCGCTATCCTCATCCTCATCCTCCTCGTCGTCGTCGTCATCATTGCCAGTCCCCTTCATCCTCTCATCTTGTTCGTCTTCATCTTCAGACTGCTGCGAGGGCGATTCTTCGACGGGTGGCAGCTCTCCCAGGTCCGGCAGACGCGCATCTTCGGCCGTGATGTCGCCGCTATCGACAAGTTTCTTGAGCTCCTCCTGGAAGATCTCTCGAAGCCGCTCAGCAGCGCCGAAGATTGGCGCCGAAGGACGATTGTAAACTTGCGCGTTGTGACATATCTGGGCGACGTCTTTGACGAATTCGGCGAAGGCAGTGTACTGCTTCTTTTGGATTTTGCCCTGCTACTGCGTCAATATGGCCGCCGCTGGACAGTGGACAATCTCCCAAGACATACTCGGATGGTGCTGAAAGCCACAGGCTCCGAAATGATGTCGAAGTAGTCAGGCAAGAGGCGTCGATTCGGAATGCGCTGGAACCCGGCCGCAAGCTCCTCGCCACTAAAGGCCTGTCAGATTTCAAGGGGGGGACGCGCCGCGGGCCATGGCTGCAAGAAGCAGGACTCACTTTTCTTCCACGCTGCATAGGTACTTTGAAAGGTCGGAGATTATCTGGTAGAGGTCGTGAGGCTCATCCTGGCCCGCATCGTCTCCCGCGTCTACATTATTTTCATCGACGTTCTCCTTCATCTCGACGTCGCCGTCGGGCGCATCCTTGGGGCGCTCTTGGGACATTGCGCACTATAGCAATTTACACGCCTCAGCAAGCAGTGATTGTCCTTGGGCAAGAGGCATGCGATGGTTGAGAGGCAACAGCAGGCTCCATGGACGCCCTCTGGCTATCGTCGTGAAGCCGCGAATTTACCACTACCATGCGAGAGCCTCGCGACGGCATCAAATTCCTTAGTCAGTTGGAAAATGCGACCATACCGCAAAGGGACTAGAGCCGACGCGAGATCGAACGGCTGTCGGAACCTGAGCTTTTCCGAGAGAGTCAACTGCTGAGTCATGGGCCGCCCCGCTGCTACGCCCGTCCCTCCCTCTAGCACCAGCTTAGGCCAGGCACCTCCGGTCGATCTGCAATCCAGTTTTCAAAGTTGGCACGCCTGATGGTGCGTGGCGCACACACGGAAACCTCCTACCGCATTGAGGCAGCACCTCCGACTACATGCGTACTAGAGCCTCGTACAGCCAGACGGCCAGACAGCCTGCCATTGGCGAGGACGACGAAGAGACGGAGATGCTAATGAGATGCCTAATGCCTGATGACAGAATCATGATCGAATGCGCCCTTGGCACCTCGTGAATCAGTGGTAATCGATGCTGCTTCGTGCATGCGGCGTCGTGCAAGTTCTTGTATTACTCGCATCGTATTCTCAAGGACGAGGACTCGTATTTGCCGTCCTTATCTGCTGATAGTACAAAGCCACACCTCCCTTAGCCGTTTCAATGCATCTCGGCTGCTGCTCGTCACGGATAAAGTGCTCATTGACAGATTGCTCCGTCTGTCCACATCCTCCCACCACCCGCTCCACCAGCTCCCAGGCTGATACGTTAGTGCCAGGCCATCGTGGCCGATGTGCCGCTGCAACAGGACTGCTCCATCTGCTGCTCCATCGTGCTAGTAGTAGTATGTTGTAGTAGTAGTACGTAGTATCGTAGCAGGACTATGAGTGCTCATGTACTACGTACCACTCCGTACGGCTTTGTTGTTGACAAGTGCATGACGCCTGGACGCGTCTTACATGCTCGCTCCGCTTCCGTCGCGATACGATGCCTCCCGCACCCATTGGCTGCTGCGTGGCTTACGGTGCGTGCAACGGTGGCGCGCACGGCCGGTGGGAAACCCACCCAATCCGTTCCTTGCATTTCAGCGCATTTCAGGTATTTCCGATGGCCACTCCGAGTTGCCCCCCTGAGCTCGCTGGCTCGATCCCTCCTCAGCACGATGGCGGGCTCGCGGAGGGGCTGTGCCAGGGGAATGCTCGCGAGTTTGAAGGGCAGGTTGGCGGGCAGTCCTTAATACCGCCGGAATTCCTGTCGTATCGCGCCGGGAATTACTATTAATAATTTCTGGGTGGCCAATCGCTCAATGGACGGCGCTGCGGAGCACCATTGACGACGGTTCAGGATCCTATCGATCGAATGCTTGCGGATCTTCTGGCTGCCGTCGCTGTGGCAAGCGTCCGGCGCTGCCGTGGCTGGCCAGGTACCTGCACGACTGCCGCGTCCCACACCTTGTACGCAGGTACTCCGTGCCCGTGCCCCGTGCCTGGACCTAGGTACTACCTACCTACCTATCTAGTAGACCTGTACCTGGACCTGGACCTGTGCTTGCTGGTGTGCTTGCTCGGGTAAGGTACCTTGCCAATTGCCTTGCGTTACCTTGCCTTGCCTTGCCTCTGCCTGTGCTTGTGTGCTTGCATGCTCCCATCTGCCCCTTTCCAGGCTTCCCCACCCGTCCTTTGCAAGCTGATACACAGCACCTCCGTCCCGCTCCCCGCCCTATTGGCCGGGAAAGGGGGAGGCGCGCCCCCTTAAAGTCGCAGCTCAGGCCTCCTCCACGTGATCCTGCGTCCTACTGAAGTTTCCTGTTTTCCGCCGGCTCTGCTTGTTCTTGGCAGTCTTTCGTTCTGACGGGCCATCCATCTTTCTTGTCTTTCCCATACCTGCCCTTACCTTACGTCTCTCGTTACTGTTTGGTTCTTGCTGTGACTTGTCTTTCGCCTCTGGCCAGTGTTTTCCACGCTCTTCGCATCGCCGCTTGTGCTTGAAACACAAGTGAGCACCACTCAACTGCTGCAGAGCGTCTCTCGTCACTCGGTCACACCAGCTGGGCTTCTGTTCCTGCGAGCTCCCGCCGGCTGTCCCATTTGCATTCCATCGCTCATTCTACTCTGTTTTTTTCATCATTCTCAGTCCATTCATGAACTCCAACCACTAGGTAAGCATTCTCGTGTGGAAACCAACGGCCCCTCGATATGCTGCCCAGGGCCGCGGACCTGTCTCTTTCTTTTGTCGTTGTGTGCTGCATCAGCCGCTGACATCCTCCTTTTGCCCTTTCTCAGGTAACTTTTTCTCATCATGTCGGGATATCCTGGCGGCGGTGGCGGCGGCCACCACGACGGGTACGATGATGGCTATGGTCAAGGCGGCCAACGCGGCAACGGCCAGCAAGGCCAGACCGATTCCTACTATCAAGACGATCAGTACTATGACAACAATTACGATGCCCATGGCGCAGCTCATGGCGGCAACCCCGGAGGAGATGGTTACTATGATGAATCGTACGACTCCCAGCTGCCTGTGATATCGTCTTTTTCTTCTCCCGATGAACAAAGCTGACCGTGACGCACAGAGGATATTACAACGCGGACCCCAACAACCCGTACCACCACGACGGCGGGTATTATGATGGCGATGATCAGTATCACGACGAATATCAGAATCATGGAGGCTACTACGACCAGGCTCCTCGTCAAGGCTCTGAGGAAGATTCTGAGACATTCAGCGACTTCACCATGAGGTCGGACATGGCTCGCGCTGCCGAGATGGACTACTATGGTCGCGGAGACGAACGATACAACAGCTACGGCGACCCTCAGTCGGGCGGTCGGGGATACAGACCTCCCTCTTCCCAGGTCTCCTACGGCGGCAATCGGTCGTCGGGCGCGTCAACGCCAAACTACGGCATGGACTATGGCAACGTGTTGCCCGCGGGACAGCGCTCACGCGAGCCCTACCCAGCCTGGACCTCGGACGCTCAGATTCCTCTGTCCAAGGAGGAGATTGAGGACATTTTCCTCGATCTGACTGCCAAGTTCGGATTCCAAAGAGACAGCATGCGCAACATGTATGATCACTTCATGACGCTGCTGGACTCGAGGGCCTCGCGAATGACGCCCAACCAGGCACTCCTGTCTCTGCACGCTGATTACATCGGCGGTGACAACGCCAACTATCGCAAGTGGTACTTTGCCGCGCATCTTGATCTGGATGACTCGGTCGGCTTCGCCAATGCCACTGCCAAGGGGTTGAAGCGCAAAGCGAAGAACAAGAAGAAGGGGAAGCAGGACGACCCCGCGAACGAAGCCGAGATGCTGCAGGACCTCGAAGGCGACGACAGTCTTGAGGCCGCCGAGTACCGCTGGAAGACTCGGATGAACCGCATGTCCCAGCACGACCGAGTTCGTCAAATTGCTCTTTATCTGCTTTGCTGGGGAGAAGCGAACCAGGTCCGATTCATGCCAGAGCTGCTCTGCTTCATTTTCAAGTGTGCGCATGACTACCTCGGCTCTCCCGCGTGCCAGGCTCAAACAGAGCCAGTGGACGAGTTCACCTTCCTCAACAACATCATCACGCCACTGTACCAGTACTGTCGAGACCAGGGCTACGAAATTCTCAACGGCGTTTACGTCAGACGTGAACGCGACCACAAGCACATCATTGGTTACGACGACTGCAATCAGCTCTTCTGGTACCCGGAAGGTATCGAGCGCATCGTCCTGCATGATAAGAGCAAGCTCATTGATGTCCCTCCGGCCGAGCGTTACCTGAAGTTGAAGGATGTCAACTGGAAGAAGTGTTTCTTCAAGACTTACAGAGAAACTCGCTCCTGGTTCCATCTCCTGACCAACTTCAACCGTATCTGGATCATCCATCTCACCATGTTCTGGTTCTACACTGCTCACAACGCCCCCACGCTGCTGGTGAAGAACTACGAGCAGCAGGTCAACCAGTCGCCTTCTGCAGCCAAGCAGTTCTCCATCGTTGGCTTTGGAGGTGCTATCGCGTCGCTGATCCAAGTCCTTGCCACCCTGGCGGAATGGGCCTACGTTCCGAGAAGATGGGCCGGCGCGCAGCATCTGACCAAGAGACTTCTCTTCCTCCTCCTCATGCTCGTTCTCAATGTTGCGCCCGGTGTCAAGGTCTTCATGTTTGCGGACAAGAACCCCAACTCCGCAATCGACCATGCTATCGGAATCGTGCACTTCATCATTGCCATCATCACCTTCCTGTTCTTCGCCGTCATGCCTCTGGGTGGCTTGTTCGGAAGCTACATGGTGTCCAACTCTCGACGATACGTGGCCAGCCAGACGTTTACGGCTGCATGGCCGTCGTTGCCGTTCAATGACATGGCTGTCTCATACTTCTTGTGGCTGACAGTCTTCGGCGTCAAGTTCGGAGAGTCATATGTATTCCTGGCGCTCTCATTCCGTGATCCGATGAGATACCTCTCGATTATGCACTTGCAATGCCAAGGTGACCACCTCCTGGGTGGTGACATCCTGTGCAAAAATCAGCCCAAGATCGTCCTGGGACTCATGATCTTCACGGACATGATTTTCTTCTTCCTGGATACATACCTCTTCTATGTCTTGATCAACGCAATCTTCTCCATTGCGCGATCGTTCTACATCGGTTCGTCGATCTGGACCCCGTGGCGAAACATCTTCTCTCGTCTGCCGAAGCGCATCTACTCCAAAGTCTTGGCGACAACGGACATGGAAATAAAGTATAAGCCCAAGGTCCTCATTTCCCAAGTTTGGAATGCCATCGTCATCTCCATGTACCGAGAGCATCTTCTCGCCATTGATCACGTGCAGAAGCTGCTGTACCACCAGGTCCCGTCAGAGCAAGAAGGAAAGCGAACACTGCGAGCCCCGACGTTCTTTGTGTCTCAGGAAGATCACTCCTTCAAGACCGAATTCTTCCCCAGCAACAGTGAGGCGGAACGCCGAATTTCCTTCTTTGCCCAGTCGCTCTCTACCCCTATCCCGGAACCCTTGCCGGTGGACAACATGCCAACCTTCACGGTCATGATTCCCCACTACGGTGAAAAGATCCTTCTTTCTCTGCGAGAAATCATTCGTGAGGATGAGCCCTATTCCCGAGTCACCCTCTTGGAGTACCTTAAGCAGCTTCACCCGCACGAATGGGACTGCTTCGTCAAGGACACCAAGATTCTCGCTGACGAGACATCGCAACTCAGCGGCGACGAAGAAAAGAACGAGAAGGACACGGCCAAGAGCAAGATCGACGATCTCCCGTTCTACTGCATCGGTTTCAAGTCTTCTGCCCCTGAGTATACCCTCCGTACACGCATTTGGGCGTCGCTGCGCTTCCAAACGCTGTACCGAACAATCTCCGGCTTCATGAACTATAGCCGTGCTATCAAGCTGTTGTATAGAGTCGAAAACCCTGAAGTCGTGCAAATGTTCGGTGGCAACACGGATAAGCTGGAGCGCGAATTGGAGCGCATGGCCCGCCGCAAGTTCCGCATTTGCGTAGCCATGCAGCGATATTCCAAGTTCAAGAAGGAGGAAATGGAGAACGCCGAGTTCCTGCTGCGTGCATACCCCGACCTGCAGATCGCCTACCTGGATGAAGAACCGCCCGTTGCTGAAGGCGAAGAGCCTCGACTGTACTCTGCTCTCATTGACGGCCACTCCGAGATCATGGAGAACGGCATGCGACGCCCCAAGTTCCGTGTCCAGCTCTCTGGTAACCCAATTCTTGGTGACGGAAAATCCGACAACCAGAACCATGCGATCATCTTCTACCGTGGCGAATACATCCAGCTCATCGATGCCAACCAGGACAACTACTTGGAGGAATGTCTCAAGATTCGAAGCGTGCTTGCCGAGTTCGAGGAAATGAAGACGGAAAACGTGTCTCCTTATACCCCGGGTGTTAAGACCAACTCGCCTGCTCCTGTGGCCATTCTCGGTGCCCGTGAGTACATTTTCTCCGAGAACATTGGTATTCTTGGTGATATCGCCGCCGGAAAGGAACAGACATTCGGTACTCTTTTCGCGCGTACCATGGCTCAAATCGGAGGAAAGCTTCACTACGGTCACCCGGATTTCCTCAACGGCATTTTCATGACAACTCGCGGAGGCGTTTCCAAGGCTCAGAAGGGTCTGCATCTGAACGAAGATATTTTCGCCGGTATGAATGCCATGTTGCGAGGCGGCCGAATCAAGCACTGCGAGTACTACCAGTGTGGTAAGGGTCGTGATTTGGGTTTTGGTTCCGTTCTCAACTTCACCACCAAGATCGGCACTGGTATGGGTGAGCAGCTGCTCTCTCGAGAGTACCATTACCTGGGAACCCAGCTGCCTTTGGACCGCTTCCTGTCGTTCTACTATGCCCACGCCGGCTTCCACGTCAACAACATGTTCATCATGTTGTCCATTCAGATGTTCATGATCACGCTCATGAACATTGCAGCTCTGCGACACGAGACCATCCGATGCGACTACAACCGAGACGTCCCCATCACCGATCCCCTGTTCCCCACCGGATGCGCCAACACGGACGCATTGATGGATTGGGTCCAGCGCTGTGTCTTCTCCATCTTCTTCGTCTTCTTCCTGTCGTTCGTTCCTCTGATAGTGCAGGAGTTGACTGAGCGTGGTATCTGGAGGGCCCTGAGTCGTTTCCTGAAGCAGTTCCTCTCGCTTTCACCGTTCTTTGAAATCTTCGTCTGTCAGATTTACGCGAACTCTGTACAGCAGAACATTTCGTTTGGCGGTGCCAGATATATCGGAACAGGTCGTGGTTTTGCCACCGCTCGCATTCCCTTTGGCGTCTTGTATTCCCGATTCGCCGCCCCGTCAATCTATTTCGGCGCTCGGTTGTTGATGATGCTTCTGTTTGCGACCGTCACCGCCTGGCAGCCCGCGCTCGTCTACTTCTGGATCACCCTGCTCGGATTGACAATCTCGCCCTTCCTGTACAACCCGCATCAATTCGCATGGACCGACTTCTTCATTGACTACCGTGACTACCTCCGTTGGCTGTCGCGTGGTAACTCTCGCTCGCACGCTTCTTCGTGGATCGCGTTTTGCCGACTGTCCCGTATCCGAGTCACTGGTTACAAGCGCAAGAACCTGGGCGATGCCTCGGCCAAGCTGTCGGGCGATGTCCCCAGAGCAGCCATCACCAACATTTTCTTCACGGAAATCTTCACGCCGCTCCTGCTCGCCGTCGTCACGCTTATCCCGTACTTGTTCATGAACGCGCAGACGGGTGTCCTCGCAGACAACCAGAAGGTCTCCAAGGGCAAATCCGCCCCCAAGATCCAGCCTACCGACTCTCTCGTTCGAATCTTGATCGTGGCTTTCGGTCCCGTTGCCATCAACGCTGGTGTCTTGATGGTCATGTTTGCCATGGCATGCTTTATGGGTCCTCTCCTGAGCATGTGCTGCAAGAAGTTCGGCAGTGTTCTGGCCGCTATTGCTCACGCCCTCGCCGTCATCTTCATGCTGGTCTTCTTCGAAGTGCTCTTCTTGCTCGAGGGCTTCAACTTCTCCCGCACGATGGCCGGTATGATTGCTGTTGTGGCGATGCAGCGATTCCTGTTCAAGCTGATTGTTTCGCTGTTCTTGACGCGAGAATTCAAGGGTGATGGATCCAACATTGCCTTCTGGACTGGAAAATGGTACTCCATGGGCTGGCACACCGTCACTCAGCCCGCTCGTGAATGGCTTGCCAAGATTACCGAACTCAGCATGTTTGCGGCTGATTTCATTCTTGGACACTGGCTGCTGTTCTTCATGATTCCCGTCATCCTGATCCCTCGCGTTGATGTACTGCACTCGATGATGCTGTTCTGGCTTCTGCCCAGGTAAGTTTCTTCTTTACGCCTCCTTGCGCTGCGTTGCCTCACATAGTTACGTGTACTGACAAGTATCTTTGCAGCCGACAAATTCGTCCTCCGATTTACTCCCTGAAGCAGTCGAAGCTCAGGCGACGCCGCGTCATTCGCTTTGCCATTCTTTACTTCGTTCTCGCCATCGTCTTCATTGCTCTCATTGTCGGGCCGATCTTTGCGGCCAAATCCGTCCCTGCCTCGTTGACCGACAAGCTCACGGATATTGCGGGTTTCCGACTGATGCAGCCAAACCACCAGAACAATGACAACACGAACGGAACTCAGCAGACTGGTACCGGCGCCCCAGACTACACCGGCGCTGGCAGGAAAACGACGACGACGACTGGTGCGGGTGCTGATTTCACCGGCAAGATCAGGCTATTTTAATCATGTTGGTTTAATTCAAGTTTGTAACCTTAACGTCTCTCCCTTGTGGAGCGACAGATCAAGCTCTAGAATGTCTATAGCTACATCCATAGTTGCTTGGCCTCTAAAGGGAGAGGTTACTAAGTATATGCTTGCTTCACGCTTGTTGAGCAACGGCTTTTTTATGAATCATCCTAGTATTCCCTTTTCTATATTTTCTCTTACGACGATGTTTGCCTAAAATAAATAGACTTTTTGCTTTTGATTACTATCTTGCGTTATCTACCTATATCGAAGTACTACTTTTATTCTACTCTTGTACGTGCTATATACACTGTGAATGCGTGTCTCTCTGTGTGAATTTACCTACGGGAGAGGTAGCCAAACAGGAAGGGTGCTCTGAGGAGCGTGTCAGTGTTGATGTTGATGTCTCCGGTAGGCGTGTAATCTCTTCTCTACAGCTCGTCTTTTGTGTGCGGTCTGTCACCCTCAAGGTTTCGGCTCTTTGTGTTCTTGGCTCCCGACTCAGCTGCTCTCGAGTCCCCATTGTCCGCAAGCTTCTCTTTGCCGGCAATTCCCGTCTCTTGCTTAAAGAGCTGTCTCAGGGCTGCGATCTCTTCGTCATAGGCAGTCCATTCGGGAATCTGCCTCCTCGCCCGGTCGAGCTTGGGCTCTTTGGTCAGCGGGTTGTTGCACAGGTCAATGGTTCGGGCCTGGCTGAGGCTCTCGTCGCTGCACCACGTCTCGCACCAGAGCCACTCCTGGGGCAAGCTGTGGATGGGGATGTGGAACTGCATGTGGTTCGGCAGGTCCTGATCCAGGTTGGCCAGGCTGTTGGGGTCGGCGGAGAGGGAGTGGTACTGCTGGCGGAGGCGGTCGCCGGCAGCGAGCTCCCGGAAGCGCCTCAAGTCGACGACGTAGAGGGCGGAGATGTGGTACGGGCGGCCTCGGAGGTAGTTTGCCCAGTAGCCCTGTTTCCAGAAGCGGAATCCTTCCATCTCGGTGCGAGAGTCGCACATGGGAGTGAAGCCATAGGGGGCGCCTTCGAGATCGAGGTTCATCAGCTCGATCATGTCGGTGCGCACAACCTGATCGGCATCCACGAAGATGACCTTGTCCAAGGACAGGGGGAACAAGACGTCCAGGAACAGGATCTTGTAGCCCCAGATCTCTCGCTGCTTCTCCTTCTGTTGCCGCAGCCAGTGGGGCCACTTGTACGACACCATCTCGTACTTGAACCCGTACTCCTGGGCCATGCGTGGTATAAACTCCTTGAAGGATGGGGAGAGGAACTGTTCGATGAACCAGAATTTGACGGTGTGCTTTGTGTGACGCATCACCGAGACGATCATGATGTTCAGCATGCGCTCATAGAGGTGACCGCTGGCGACGGAGAAGATGTTGATCTCTGCGTGTTCCTGTGCAGACACCGACTTCTTGTTTGATTTTCCGCCAAAGAGGCCTTCTGCCAGTTTGAGTCCCTTAGCAACAATGTTGTTCGAAGGCCCCTTTTCCTGAAGAACATCCTCCATCTCCATGCCGGCTCTTCTTTTGAGACGTGGGTACAGTGTTACGCCTTGGAAGTCGATCAACGCGAGATCAGTACCGTTATCGCCAGCAACCGGGTTCCATCCCTGGGCACCGATGCTCTCGATCTCATATACCTCAGTGTTGCGGCCTTCCTTGAGGCGAATGGAGTAGACTCCAGGATTCGCCTTGAATTGGAAAAATCCAAGATTCGACATGACGATGGTGTCTGTAAGGAGAGGGTCCTTCTCTGTGGCGAGAACCAATTGGGCACCTCGTGGCGCCGACCCCTTACCCTCCCTCGAGTGTCCTTCAATGAGGATATGCTTCAAGACATATGTTGCATGAACGGCTGTCTTCACCGCACTCAATTTTATGTTGTCAAGATCGTGGACCGAGATCAGAGGCGCAACGAGCCATGCGGGGGGCACATCGACCGCAGCTGTCAGCAAGGCTTCAGATGGCAGGTTCTTGAAGGTAGCCACTAGACCCCGGACGCCTCCCTCTTCGTCGAATGACGGCTGCGACTCCAACACGTAACGGAAAAAGCGCTTGACTGGGAGCTCATCAACCTTGCTCATGGGGTTGATGAAGAGCTTCAAGTGGACACCTTCCAGCTCAGAGAGGACCTTCAAGATGGGAGCCCACCTCTGGCCCTGTTCACTGACGGGGTTCAAGAGGCCTACGATGAATATGCTTGCGGTTTCTTCATCGCCTCGTTCAATGGCTGTGTGAGTTGATTGCCACTTGTCATAGAGAGTGGTTCGAACCGATGACGTTGATTCAAAAATGCCCTCAGGCAACTCGGAAATCGTAGAGAGGGCAGTGATGGACGTCAACCTAGCGGCGTCTAATGGAGTCGCCAGCTTGTCGCTCAGGCCAAGTTCCTCGATCGCTCCATAGACGGGAAGTATACGCCTCATTCGCTCGACTTCCAGGAATTGTTGAAAGTCGTCGGCATCGAACTGGGAGTCTTCAGAGATGGGTCCAATCACTCGGCCATTGAGAATAATCATCCGGGCTCCCGAAGGTATCTTGGAGGCACCGAGGAACTGCTCAAGAGCCTCAAAATACCCGTCGTTGATAGAGTCTTCGGAATGCGTTTGCAAAAGGTTTGTCAGTTCGTCAATGTTTTGGATATCGCCCAGTAATCCTTGGCTGGCCTGCAGAGCAGCATTCGCTGAAGCGGCACCAGTAGCAGCTAAGGGGTTATGAACAATGTCCATCCTGATGCTGGGATTACGGCGCTTGAACTCCAGGGCGGATAGGAGCAGCTCTTTGCCGCTCGTCGTTGTGAGATCAGCGATGACAGTCACAACTGCCCAATCTTCCCTTTGCGATTCGGCAGCAGCTTCGAGAACAGGGACGGCCTCGAAAAGGTTGGCGTGCTCCTTATAGACCTTGTCAATATTGAGCACCCTGAGGCTTTTTTTCTCGTCGTCTGGCGTTATATAGCTGTTTCTTCTGGTGATTGCTCTGCTCAGGAATAGCCCCGGAGCCCAGTCGTCGTCAGTGAGGAGGCCATGAAACACGCCTTTCTGAACCGTTTGAAGATCTTCGCCGATTTGCATCCCCAATCTTTGCATCCAGCTCTCGTCACGAGGAATTGACAGGCCGTTGAAAAAGGTTGGCCGGATGGGCGTGTCAACCTTCAATCGACTAGCCCATTGCTGAGCAAGCTTGAGTTGTTGCTGGTATGTGTCTGCTTCAAGAACTTCCCCAAGCGTCATCTTTTCCGAGTCTTCAAGGAGCTCATGGTCTGCCGTGATTTCTGCGAAGAGTTCCTCGTTACTCAACGTTGAAGCAGCCTGTTGAAGCCGGCCTAGGTAGCTAACGAGCCCGCGGATGCCATAATTCTCCAAGATGTGATAGGCTATCTTGGCTTTGGCGGCGGCCTCCGGTGTGGAAGTCAGGGGAACCAGACCAAATCTGACAGAGATACCTCGAGAAACGAAAGACAACAACTGCGCAACGAATGAGACATCCTCTGCGCTCGTAAAATCCACAGGTGCAACAAGAGTGAAGATGTTTTTCGCAATTGGAGGTAGTTGTCCAGGATATGCTCGTTGCAACAGCTAGAACCAATCAGCAATGATGAAGTTCTCTTCAGAAGTCTGTTGCGGCTTACCGAGGCAATGCTATTTGGGTAGTGTTCGTATGCATCGTCGTTCTCGAGATCATTTAACCAGATCAAGACTCGACCGTCCTCGAGACGATCGGTCCAGTCATATCGCAGCGGCTCATCGGAGTCCTTGGCGAGAGACACACTTTGATGGCCAAGAATCGAGACTGCTTGCTTCCCACTAAGGCCGAGGGCGCGGAAGCCGTCAATGAGTTTACGCTCTTGGCGTAGCCTTTCGATGAGGGCAAATGGCTCGATCTGACGTTCAATGAGCTGAACACCGTTCACTAAGAGGACGTTCATGCCCTCCGGCACTCCGAGTGCGCCGTTACTTTGCAATTCTTCTTCAATCTGCGACGAGATGTTATGAGCAACAACTGATGTTAGGAATCTGGGCAGATCCTGGGTCAACTTTATCAATGTATCCAGTGGCCTATCGCTTTGGAGTATGAACGATGCCGCTTTCAGTCCAAGTGACGAGAGATCTGACGATGCCAATGGTTTGATATCAGCAACATCCTCATCGTCATCAAGACTGGTGGCAGAAGCGAGGGTGTCAGCGTGAGCCTCTTCATCGTGCGATCGATCATCGAGAACAATGTAATCGGTTCTCTTCAGTGCCAACTCGACGCCATAGCCGCTAATGGGTAGGTTTGAAGCATGTGTAGTTTCACTTCGGCGATACCTCAGGCGGTAGGTCAAGGAGCCCTGCCTCGCGGCTTTGGATAGGGCTTCATGGAAGTCTCCAAAGGAGCTTGAAGTTGGGTCAGCATAGAGGATGGCCTCTTTGCCCAATCCGAGCGTTCGATCGAATGGAAGATCCTTTGCTTGTCTACTTCAGATATTAGAGCTTGCCATGCATGCCATCGTGCAGATACTGACAGAGAAGACAGTCCCTCCCTATGGACTTTGTCCAGTTCCGGAGTGCAGTATTGCTTTCCCTCCAGCAGTACCCAGTTGGTACACCCTGGCTCAGCGGCATCATCCACTGCCGATGCAACGGCAGTGGCGTAGTATTGATAATGAGCCTCTATCCGAGGGGCAGCGGACCGCAAAGATAAAGCAAGCTTGAATGTCGACAGCGCCTCGGGGCTAGACAGGCTGCCGTCTTCTTGCAAGGCATCGAGAACCTGGGCGTACAACGCAGCATCGGTAGAGGCTGAGGCAAAGTGTCCGGCCGCAATTCGGTCTAGCAGTGGGAAGTACGACGACGAGTTTTCTGCTGCTGCGGTCTCTCTGTCCACTGTTCAGTACTCGCTCGTCCTGTCCAAGGAAGAAAGGGCTGAGAGGATAGGTAGGTACAAGAGCTCGAGGAGATATGGGCCAGCAGGGAAAGCTGCAATCATGCCCACATTCACCGTGGGAGTGCTATGAGCCTGCAGAGCAAGCAGGAGGGCGCATATCAGGTTCCATGGCCACCAGCGATGCTGTGTCATGATAGGTGACGAGGATGGGCGGAGCATATAAGAGGCGTCGACGGCCGAGATGATCCCTCCAGAAGCTGTCTCTCAGACATGCAGTACCATTGACGAGACAATTAGAATCGCGACGGCAGGGATCAAGACAACGGGGGTAAGGAAATTGTGACCAGAACAATGCAATGGACGAAAAGTCGGTAATCGAGTCGTTTCCCAAGAGCTGTCCAAAAGCGTAGGGGACAGCTATCCCGAATCGCTACATGCGAGGCCGGGCCACCAATAGTTGCGCCACATGTACTTGTATCAAAGCTTCCCCCACAATCTGCAGCTGGACATGAACAAGGTCAACCACGACAGAATCAATTAACCAAGCCTTGTCAGTAGCCCAACGCCTTTACTACTGAGGGATCAGTATAGAAGTCACATGGATAGTACAGTACCTAGGTAGATACCCGTGATGCTTGTCTGATTGAAGCAGCGTTTGCCCAAGGTACAATTGCTGCTCCAGCAATCGGCTCTCATCAAAAGTACAAGCGCAGCATCATCGTACCGTACCTCAAAGGACCCTTAGCAAGAGTGTCCGCTTGTTGGGTATGCAGTAAACAAGTAGCGCTTTATGCAGATATGCAGTATAAGAGGGGTGAGGCACCCAAGGCGGTGAGATGTCACGGCCAATGAGCTTGCGGGGCTGCGGCTGGCGCAATACCCACCTTGGAGATGGACACGATACTCAATTGGAAGCTGCTGGCCAATACGACTGCACTGTTCCATCTCGCTCCTTTTTATGCTGACTCTCTGGCCAGGCTTGAATAGCTGTCATCGTCAATCGAGGCCTCTCAAGCCAGTCGTCTACATCTTCTCGTACGGGTGTCTGTCCGTCTATCCGTTCCTTTTTCCTTTGATGCGCGAGGCTGCGACCTCCCCAGCCCGCCAGAATGCAGTCCTCCCCAGGAATGTTGACCAAGGTACGTTGCCTATCCGAGAGCTGCTCGGCTCCGGGATCCTCAACTGACGCCCCTCCAGTTTGAGTCGAAGTCGTCCAGGGCCAAAGGAATCGCGTTCCATCCGAAAAGGTAGCTGCGTGCCTCCCCTTGCTGAGCGATATTGGTCGGAGCACTGATCAGGCAAACTAGACCATGGATTCTCGTCGCCCTTCACTCCTCCACAATCCAGCTCTGGGATTACCGCATGGGCACGTTGATCGATCGATTCGAGGAGCATGATGGTCCGGTCCGCGGCGTCGACTTTCACAAGACACAGCCGCTCTTTGTATCCGGTGGCGACGATTACAAGATCAAAGTCTGGTCGTACCAGACCCGGCGATGTCTCTTCACACTCAACGGCCATCTCGATTACGTGCGAACCGTCTTCTTCCACCACGAGCTTCCATGGATTCTGTCCGCCTCCGATGACCAGACCATCCGAATCTGGAACTGGCAGAACCGTAGCTTGAGTATGTTGCAATCTCGTAAGCTGCTGGGAGTCTGCGTAAGATCGCTAATTCGCTCTCAGTTTGCACCATGACCGGCCATAACCACTATGCCATGTGCGCCCAATTCCACCCCAAGGAAGATCTCGTGGTCTCGGCCTCGCTTGATCAGTCAGTTCGTGTCTGGGACATCTCCGGGCTTCGGAAGAAGCACTCCGCACCGACTTCCATGAGCTACGAGGACCAAATCGCGCGTGCGAACCAAAATCAAACGGACATGTTCGGCAACACCGATGCCGTCGTCAAATTCGTCCTGGAAGGCCACGACCGTGGAGTCAACTGGGTAGCTTTCCATCCTACCATGCCCCTGATCGTTTCGGCCGGCGACGATCGCCTAGTCAAGCTCTGGCGCATGAGTGAAACCAAGGCCTGGGAAGTCGACACGTGCCGCGGGCACTTCCAGAACGCCTCAGGCTGTCTGTTCCACCCCCATCAGGACCTGATTCTGTCCGCCGGAGAGGATAAGACGATACGTGTCTGGGACCTCAACAAGAGGACTGCTGTGCAATCCTTCAAGAGGGAGAACGACCGCTTCTGGGTTATTGCGGCTCACCCCGAGATCAACCTGTTCGCAGCCGGCCATGACAATGGTGTCATGGTTTTCAAGCTGGAACGCGAGCGCCCTGCCTCGGCAGTCCACCAGAACACTCTCTTCTACATCACCAAAGAGAAGCACGTCAAGTCCTACGATTTCCAAAAGGATGTGGAGAGCCCGACGCTGCTGTCGCTCAAGAAGCTTGGAAGCCCCTGGGTTACTCCTCGGACCCTGTCTTACAATCCCGCTGAGAGGTCTATCCTCGTAACCACCCCTAACGATGGTGGTTCTTACGAATTGGTCAACCTTCCCAGAGATGGCTCTGGCGCTATTGAGCCGTCAGAGTCCAAGCGCGGGTCGGGCAACTCCGCCATCTTTGTCGCCAGAAACCGCTTCGCTGTCCTCAACGTTGCCAACCAGACGATTGATATCAAGGATCTGTCAAACAACACAGCTCGTTCGTTCAAGCCTCCGGCCGGGACTACTGATATCTACTTTGGAGGCACGGGCAATCTTCTCATCATCACACCCACGACTGTCTATCTGTACGATATCCAGCAGAAGAAGACTACCGCAGAGCTTTCCATCAACGGCGTCAAGTACATTGTGTGGTCCAACGACGGCCTTTACGCCGCCTTGTTGAGCAAACACAACGTGACCATTGTCACAAAGACACTCGAGCAAATCAGCACTCTGCACGAGACTATTCGCATCAAGAGTGCCACTTGGGATGATGCGGGCATTCTTCTCTACTCGACCCTGAACCATGTCAAGTATGCTTTGCTCAATGGCGACAATGGTATCGTTCGGACTCTTGATCAGACCGTCTACCTCGTGCGCGTCAAGGGCCGCAACGTCTATTGCTTGGATAGAGCAGCGAAGCCTCGCATTCTGCGCATCGACCCGACGGAGTATCGCTTCAAGATGGCCTTGGTCAAGCGAAACTACGAAGAAATGCTTCACATCATCCGCACTTCCAGCCTTGTTGGCCAATCCATCATTTCTTACCTCCAGAAGAAGGGTTACCCCGAGATTGCGCTGCAGTTTGTCCAGGACCCGACAACTCGATTCGATCTGGCAATTGAATGCGGCAATCTGGAAGTTGCTGTGGAGATGGCCAAGGAACTGGACAAGCCCAAGTTCTGGACTCGACTGGCTACTGAAGCACTTTCCCACGGCAACCACCAGATTGTGGAGATGTGCTACCAGAAGCTGAAGCAGTTCGACAAGCTGTCGTTCCTCTATTTGACAACAGGCGACCACTCGAAGCTTGCTCGAATGGCCAAGATCGCAGAGCATCGTGGAGACTTTACCGCGCGATTCCAGAACGCCCTGTACCTTGGCGATGTCGAGGACCGCATTCAGATGCTGAAGGAGATTGATCTCTGTAAGTTGACTCGTTTGTACTCGCTACGGGAAATAGGTTGCTAATTGTTACATATAGATCCCCTTGCGTATACTACGGCCAAATCCCACGGGCTGGAGGAAGAATGCGAAGCTATCCTCGAGGCCTCTGGTCTCACAGAAGAGCAGCTAACCATGCCTGCGTTGGGCAAGCCGTTGGTGCCACCGAAGCCCGTGGTGTCGACCTTCAAGAGCAACTGGCCCACCAAGGCTAGCTCACAGTCTTACTTTGAGAGCGCTCTGCTTGGCCAGGTTGAAGGCTTGTCACTGGAGGATGAGCCAAGTGCTGCCAACGGCGTCGACGCCGAGCATGCCGCAAAGGACGAACCGGCAGAGAATCTCATTGCTATCGCTGGCGAAGACGATGACGATGCAGCAGGCTGGGATATGGGTGATGACGATGTCCCTGAGATCGAGAACGACTTTGTGAATGTCGACAGTGCGGAAGCCGGCGGTGCTGGAAGCTGTGAGGCTGATGCCTGGGCACGAAACTCACCTCTGGCTGTTGACCACATTGCTGGCGGCTCATTTGAATCAGCTATGCAGCTCTTGAATCGCCAGGTGGGCGCAGTCGAATTCGGCCCCCTGAAGCCCCGATTCTTGGAGGTCTATCGATCTTCCAAGACTTTCCTTCCGGCGTTGGCCAACCTGCCTCCCTTGGTCAATTACGTTCGCCGTACTATTGATGAAACGGACCTACGAAAGGTTTTGCCCATTATCCCGCGCGATCTTGAGCATTTGGCCTCGAATGATCTGCAAAAGGGCTACGATTCGATGAAGGCGAACAAGCTGGAAGACGGCGTCAAGATCTTCCAGGGTATCCTGCATGCTATCTTGGTCAACGCCGTCTCCAGCGAAAGCGAAGTGTCGGAAGCCAAGAAGCTGCTTGCTTCAGCAAGGGAATACACCATTGCGATGAACATTGAGCTTGCCAGGAGAAACCTTGGCTCGGCCGATGAGGTCGCCCAAGACCCCGCGAAACTGAAGAAGAGCTTAGAACTTGCTGCTTACTTCACCATTCCCAAGATTGAGGTGCCTCACAGGCAGATTGCACTGCTAAGCGCTATCAAAGTGGCAATTAAGAGCAAGAACTATAATTCTGCTTTGGGCTTCGCGAACCGCATCATCGCGAATGGAGGTTCGAGCAAAATCGTCGAGAACGTAAGTCAAGTGCCGCACACATATTGACAGTGATGCCTATTCTACCCTTTCGGTTCTGATACTAATGGCTTCCAATTTAGGCCAAGAAGACGAAAGCTCAATGCGAGAGAAACCCGACCGACAGCATCGAGATTGAATTTGACCAGTTTGCAGAATTTGAAATTTGTGCCGCCAGCCATACTCCCATCTACAGCGGAGCCCCATACGAAGAGTGTGCCTTTGATGGCTCAAAGTATCACTCGAGCTACAAGGGATCTGTTTGTAGGGTGTGCGGAGTTTGCGAGATTGGTAAGCACGGTAGCGGCTTGAGATTGTTTTCATAGACACATAATTTGGGCTTGGACTCGTTAAAAGGAGAGAGGGGGCTCAAAAGGGGCGCAACAGTATCATAGTCACGGAATATAACTGAATGGCATCGAAGGATGTTGCCGGCCGCGAGGGTGCAGTGATGGCGGGGATCAGTGGAAAAGCCATCTAAGTCTCATTCACGACTCATGCTCGATGCCGTCGTACTAGACTCTTATTACATCTTGTTCTGCTTAACCAATGACGTTGTATGCTGATGTGTATTGTGAGGTGGTGCATCTAAAACAAAAGCAAAGCATGTGACTCGATATTCTCTACACGATCGTTTCCAGCTCGCGAGCATAGCCCAGCGTATTCTCCATAATCATTTGGCTCACGTCTTTGGCGTAAGCTCCGTCTTCGCTGCCATCAGCGGCCGTGTTAGGGAAATAGATGTGGCCCTCCTTAACGACCCATCCGCGGTGCTTGGCGAACTGAATGACCTCCCCTTCTGAGTTGAGGAATAATAGTGATTTGGTGGAGCTGATCGGAAGGCTGGGGTAGGCTCGTTCGCTGCTGCTGGCAATCTCGGACCTTATCTGGTTCTTGAGAATCTGTTGCCATCCTTCCGGTTAGCTATCTGTCATGGAACGCAACAATAACACGTCCGGGTCATGGGGGGATACGCACTTCGGAGAAGACACTGTACTCGTCACAGGGCACCTCGCTGCTCTTCATGGCCTTCCATACTCGGTCATAGCTCCCCTCCATCAGCCACCTCTCCAAACGAACGGGATAGCCCAGATACCGGTCGCCCTCGACGTCGGTCCCGCCACCATCCCTGTTGGCCAGGCTCTCCAGCTCTGAGTGGAACTCGGCGTAGCGGCCCTGGGTGAGGAGCAGCAGCAAGCTCAGCCCCGTGACCTTGTTGCGTTCGGGGATGTTGGGCGGCAGGGTGACGGACGGCAGCTCGTAGAAGGGCTGCAGCTGCTGGACGTAGCGCGTGAAGGCATCTGCGTTCTTGGCGCGAATGGAGAAGAGGGCGCCTTGTTCGTACGTCTCCCGGGCGAGGGCGAGGAGGTTCGGGGGCGTTGAGGATGTCGGAGTCAGGGCTTTGAGGCTGAGGAGGATCAGCTTGGCCTTGGAGAGCAGGGCGCTGGCCTCAGGATAGCTCATCTGAGGGGCCTGCTTGAGCTGGGCGAGAATCTGGGCGAGGCTTCGGTCAGCCATGGTTGCTGAGAGATTGCTGCTACCACTGAGAGTCGTGTTGAAAGGGTCGTCGAATTTTTCAAGAAAGAAAGTATTCAGGTGGCGGATTGGGCGTCGGTGTGCCTGCGCTTTGAGAAGTGACTGTGGCCGTACGGAGACTTGCAGGTGTTGATGTGTGGTGGCTTCAAGGTGTTGGTATTCTAGGCTGAACGATGACGAAGAGGTGTTAGACGGGTATCGAACAGTGGGCGGTAGGTGCGAATCATGACTAAGCTGGGCAGCTCTCGAGCTAAGTTCTTATGTAGACAAGCATGCAGCTTCACAAGAGGCAAAATCATCTGTAGACGTGACTGCGTCTGCAATATCATTGCGAAAGAATATGGTGCATAGTACTCTAGAGTAATTCTTGATCCATACATCTGTAGACCATCTCTGACCTAGAGAGTTGCCGTTGCTCCTCAAAGCCTAGGGAAGGTCATCTGTATACCGTGCTAATGCTCCCTGCCTAGCGCTGGATTCTGCTTCGTTTCTCCTCGACTTCTCTAGATCAGCCGCCCACATGGCTGCACCTGCGGCCGTGGTCAGGAGAAAGAAGAATGAAAGCACAGGAATAAGCTCGAGAATCATGGCTACAGTCCCAAAGAAGACGTATTCCCACTCAAGGCTCTTGATCTCCTTCGCTTGCGCTGCCTTTGACAGGCCACGAAGTTGGAACCAGCGGTGATGTGAGAGCTTCCCCATCCGCGTCCCGGTTATGACGATAAAGGCAATTGTTCCGACATAGGGGATCAGGTTGAGAGGGAGGAAGAATATGAGCTCTACAACTTGAATCGTGCTCCACGGGTTGAAGGTTGCCGAACTTGTCGGCTTTCCCAGCATCTTGACTGCATTAGGTGCATCTTCGAACAGGATGCGGTGAGGAGAGATCAAGTCTTTCAGTGAGAGATTGATAAGAGTGGCCTGGAAATGGAACTTTAGCTGAAGAATGAATGGCTGGATTTCCTCTGGGCTTTTCGGCTTACGTCAAAAACATCCACTCGACATTCATCGACAAAGAAGCCCTCAAAGAGACCCTGGATGATCACCAATCCTTCACCCAACACAAGCACAACGGCGTTAACCCACGCGCCCCAGCCATGGAAGATGGCCAGGAATAAGAATTGCGGAAGGAAGGCGAACGAGAACAGAACAAAGTATACGAAGAACGAGATCAGAGACAGAGGCAGCAGCCTTCCAAAGAGAAGAGGCCAGAACTCTCTGTGTCGCGAGAAGTACCAGATGCCGCGAATCGGGTAGCTCGCCGCAAGGGCTGCGCGCTTGAGGTAGATGAACGGTCGATAGCTGCAGTGCGTGACAGTGGGGACATGCGCTCCGAGAGGTGGCAGCAAGTTGCTGTGCGGCATTGGAGAAGACATGGTTGTCTCATTGACAGCAATGGTGAGGCATGAAAGGCTAGAGTAGGTAGGCAAGGTAGGTGAGGCTGGCTGTGATGCCTAAAGGAAGCCCGTCGTGGCGATGCACTCCTACGTACCACGAACCTTTCGGGTCTGGTGTTACAGAGAGACACTTGGAGCATGTGCCAAGGCACCTCATGCCTAAGTACCTAGTAGGTACTTGAGCTCGCCAATCACCATGCTGCTTGCTGGATGTACTTGATGTGGCACCGTTCCCGGACATGATTGGCTTGAATGGCAGCACAGGATAGCGCCAATTGAACATCAACAGACATCTGGCTGTGTATCCAACTGCTTCACTCTCTTCAAATTGACCGTATCGCCAAAGAAACTGCTCTACGAGACTCGCCAATGTTGATGTCAATCACGTCGATGCATTGCAGTGCCGGTATCGTCTGAAGCTCTGCACATGGCCCCGAATGAGGGCGCGACTCATCGTCAATGAAGGCATCCAGCTGAGATTGCCTCTCGGACACTGCACTTACACCACCATGGCAGCATCTCTTCATACCTTACCTACCCTTGCCCACCCCGAGAAGTCAACACATCGAGGGAAAGCATCAAGGCATACCTGAACAAAGCCAAAACGCGAATACGACCAGAAATGCGAGACCGGTGACGTGCGCTGCTCCGATGTTGAGCGAGCATCGACTGCTCTTTCCCTTCATGGTGTTCAATTTCCTGAGCCAGATGATGCCACTACGTCAGTCTGTGGGCTGCTGACTGCTCCTGCCTCTGTATGTTCTCCCATTTACTCCTCTTTTCTTTTCCGATAAGCGGTATGGCATGGCAGGAACGAGTTCTTTCGAGGCAGGCACACGCCAGCAACGACGCCAACTCAGAGAAAGAGGTCGGACCTTCCTCAGTTACAGTGACCGCATCAAACAATCGCCATCGGCACAATGGACGCTCTTTCCTTGCCAACCTCGTGCGCTTCTCTGCCCACAAAGCCTTTTCTTCTCCCCCTCTCCTCTTCTTCCTCTTCCTTTTTCTTCTCCCTCTTCTTCTTCTTCTTCTTGTCCTCACCTCACCTCATCTTCTTCCTCTCGTTTCGGCCCGCGCCTTTCTTTACCGGTTCATTGTTTCTGTCACTCATTCACGTCCTCCTCCTCCACCGTTGACGGATTGCCCGTTCTCACGTCAACTCCGCCAACCATCCTCTGCCCATTATGCGGGTTTCCACGTCCTTGGCGGTCCTAATGGCCGGCACCGTAGCGCAGTACGCGAGTGCTCAAGTGGACTACGGGTACAGTCTGAGGTCATCCCTTTCTCTTTGTTTTCATTTGACTAACTTTGATGCAGATCGCATGACGGCAACCAGGACAATGGTCCTCATGGCAGCTCTGGTGGCCTGCCGGGCGGCTATCCCAATGGTGGCTCTTCCAATGGTGGCTATCCCAATGGTGGTTCTCCCAATGGTGGCTATCCCAATGGCGGCTATCCCAATGGTGGTTCTCCCAATGGTGGTTCTCCCAATGGTGGTTCTCCCCCTGGCGGCACCAATGGTGATCCTAATGGCAACGCCTACGGATTTCCAGGTGGTGATCCGCAGAGCTCCGCTGCTGGCCTCCCTGCCAATGCCCCTGGTTCAGCTCCTGATATGTCTTCCTGCCTTCTGCAAGCCATCACCACTGTCTTTGTCACTGTATACCCTACCAGCCATCTTACGCCCTCTGGACTTACTCAACCCAATGGCTTTGACCCTGACCAGACTGCCCACCAAACTGGATTCCCAACTACGCCGGCCTGGATCTCCTCTGCCCAGTCCGTCGAGGCAGCACACACCAGTGTCAAACCCTTCACCACGGTCACTATTGATGTTTGGGGCGGTGATCCTGATTCACCAGACTCATTCACTTCTGATGGTTCATCATCCCCTGTCTACACTGACGGTGCCTCTGACCCTGTTGCGACATCAGCCGACTTCCCTGCTGGATCTCCTGCAGACACAGAAGGCTCTTGGCCCAACGGCTCACCACTTTCCACTCCATCAGACGGACAGGCATCCTTCAGCGTTGGACCAGTTGTTGGCACCTCTGGTCCTGAGAATTCTGCATATGGTGATCCAAGCGGTTTTTCCAGCGGTCTCCCCAGCGGTCTCCCCAGCAATCCTTCCCAGACCTTTGGCCAGCAACCATCGCAGTACACGTCGCCAAGTGGTTCAGATACCGGCGCGGATGGCAGCCAACCTGTGCAAGTGACAGTCATTGGCGCAGATGGAAAACCAACAGTTCTCGAGTTCCCTGGCGGCGAGCCCACCAACGCCAACAACAATGGTGCTGGTCAACCCTTTCCCACAGCCGCCACTGCCCTTCCTGGGTTTACCTCAGGCCCTATTCCAGCAGCCACAGAGGTCTTGCCAACAGCTGGTCAGACCATGTGTACAAGCTACACTGTCCTGGGGCCCAATGGCGTTCCCACTGTCGTGCATTCCACCTGGGTCAACTCGCCAACAGCCACAGCCGGGCTTCCATCCGGATTTCCATCAGGCTTCCCATCTGGATTTACTTCTGGATTCCCGTCGGGATTCTCATCTGGCTTCCCGTCTGGCTTTCCGTCTGGCTTCCCGTCTGGCTTCCCATCTGGGTTTCCCTCTGGACTTCCTTCCGGTCTCTCATCTGGTCTTCCGTTTGAGCCTTCAATGAACCCCAGTGTCATCACGGGCTTGCCTGGAGGACCAGTCATTGCAACACATACTGCGATCACTGTTCTTGGCCCTGATGGACTGCCAACAGTGGTTGAGTCCTCTTGGCTGGTGCCCGCGCCGACACAGTCAGGTATCTCTGGCCCGAACCAAGTCTCTGGAATTCCAAATCAAGTATCTGGATTCCCCAACCAGGTCACAGGATTTCCTAATCAACTCACCGGATTCCCGACTCAGGTTACTGGATCGGCCGCTGCCGCGAGTGTGGGCGGTAGCACGACTTGTACGAGTTATACGGTTTTAGGAATGGATGGTCTTCCTACCGTTGTTGAAACTACTTGGGTTGTTCCTCGTCCTACTGACGGTGCCAATCCTGCCAATGTTGTCACTGGAGTCCCCAGCCAATTCGGCGGACTCCCTGGCGACTCGTCACAGCTGACAACGAATGCTGGTGCGAATGCTGTTACGACTTGCACAAGCTACACTGTCTTGGGTGCCGATGGTGCTCCCACAGTTGTTGAGTCCACATTTGTCGTGTTTCCAACTAACGCTCTGCCCACCGCCGCCACTGGACTGTCTCTGCCACCTGCTCAAGCTTCCGGTTTCCCCCAAGGCGTCTCAGGTCTTCCCCAAGGAGGCAATCTGGCCACAACCTGCATCACCGTCGGCGTCGTGGGACCAGATGGCTCTATCACACCCGTTGTACAGACCGTTGTCATCCCAACTGGCGCTTTGAGCAATGCTCTGCCTGTTCAGACCAATCCTGGGTATCCTTCACTCGTGCCGGCCCAAACAGGCCTTCCTCAGGGACAACTTTCTGCGATTCCTGCTGGAAGTGGACTCTCTACGTCTTGCATTACGATCACAACAGTAGGTCCAGATGGCATGGCCACGCCGGTTGTCCAGACTGTCGTAGGCTTGCCGAGCGGCGTGGAGCTTGGATCTTCTCTTCCAGTGTCAACAGGCGCACTGCCTTTTCCCAATCCCCAGGTCTCCAATGGTGGCCTGACCAATCTTCCCACACTTGGTCAGTACGGGTCACTTGGATCTGGCCTCCCAACCTTGTTGCCACCATCTGCTGCTGATTCTGGCATTGTTGGTCCAACAGGAACCGTGACTGGTACCCGCACGTCGACTTTGACCGTTGTCAACGGTCCTGATGGGCAGCCTGCCACTCTCGTTCCGTATAGTGACGAGTGGAACAACCAGGCCCCAGTACTGGGATCTACGGGGTTGTCAGACAACGCCTACGGCTCACTTTCAGGTCCGTCACGCCTTGCAACAGCTCTGCAGACCAGTACGTGGACCAATGTCATTCCTGAAGACACAACAACATATACGATCAACTTCCCTCTCACTACCATGGCTACTGTCACTCTTCCCAATCGACGTGCCGTGCGACGTCAGCAAGAGTAAGTCAGATTGATGTCCTGGATATTTGTGATACAGCTCTAACTTTATACAGCTTGGTAACCTCGGAGGTTGCATGGGACAACTCCAGCTCCATCGTCTCCAGCGTGGTATCGGAGAACAACACTGTGAGCGCATTGCCGAGCTTGACCTTCAGCGCCCCGAGCGCATTTACGCCCTCTCTTCCTTCTGCGACACTTCCTGCGCCACCGCAGGTCTCTACCGTGGAGGGACCAGGTTCCTCGCCCATGTGCCCCACTGGTGGAAAGATTGGTAACTTTACGTTGGACGTGAGTATTCATTCTGTCAAATCCCTTTGTTCTCCCTCTGTGTATTCCCTCTCTAACCTGAGTAGTTTGACGACACCAAAACCGGCCCCCTTTTCAACCCATCACGAGATGTCTGGTTCTCTGAAGGATTCCTCATCGCCCCTCCATCGTCTCAGACGTTCCAATCTTATAGTCCCTCATCTGGGGGCCAGCTGGTCGAATTCGTGCCGCCCTCCTTGCCCTCATTGGGACATTCTGGGGTGGGAGACACTGCTGAGATTGGAGTCGGTCCCAACGCTCCGAATCACTGCTTCAGGATCGACTTCCAGGGTGCCAGTCTTGGTTGTGCAGCGGAGGGTGCCGAGCAGTGGTGCGAGTTCGAAATATCCGCGTACCGGTACAACGACGTGTTGCAGAGAGAGGAGTCGATTGCCTGGTCTGAGACGAAGCGCATTCCGGCATGCCCCAACTTCCCTCACGGGAACTGTCGACTGACCCCTGTGACCTTTGACGGTTACACCAACATCACGGCAATCCTGATCAACTTGCGTGTTGGCACCGAGCTGCGAGTCTGGTGGGGAGACGACTTCAAGCTGGGCTGGAGCGACAACGGTTGCGATGCTGCTGCTTGTCGCGCGAGTGCTGTTCCCCAGCCCGTCAAGCGTGAGGTTATCGAGTCGGCTGCCCGCCGGGGTGTCTGGAACTGGACCCCAAATGGGCTGAAGCGACTTGATGACGGTTACATCTGGGAATCTCTATAAGAGCCATCATTTGATGATTTCGGAGGGTAGTTAGGTGTGATGAACTGCGGTGGAGGAATATTTGCTGTTTTCTGTTGATGGGGGCAATTTGAACCTAATTTCTTGGCGAGCAGCATAATGTGGTTGTTGTAGCTGCGGTATCAGATGTAATGACGAACGGCCGTGAGAGAGGAACTGGGCCATGTGAATTACATTCTTAAAATACAATCAATGGACATTTCCTGATGAGACTGACTACGCTGGCGAGGCCGTCCATTTCTGCTGTGAAGAGTTGTTGTGACTCGGTTCGAGGAAAGATCCCAAGACGATAGCTTTTTCGATTTCAATGTAAGGGTATGCCTGATGCGTCGCCGAGTCCTACGAATACAAGCGAGGAAAGCAGTGGACGACTTGATTACGGGCATCACGATACCAGGAATCATTCGAAGGCGCGTAAGTCACTGCATCAGGAGCAATTCGCGGTCAGATGTACATGCATGTATGCTAGCAGCGCCAAGTTGCGAAACAGTTCAACGAAGGAGACAGGGCTAAAGTAATCCAAGAGGTGATTTCCTGTGCCAAACAGCCTCGTCTCTGTTGAACCAGGAGGCCATGGCCTCCATCTCGTCATCATTGTTGTGGAGGGCAGCGTCGTCCGTGGCCGGGCAAGAAGTGTCCCAGGGGCGGCACTCGACGTTGCAGGGCGACAGGTCAGAGGGGATGACGCCGGACTCGAAGTAGTCGGCGACGGCGCGCCTGGTGCACTTGCTGGGGGCAGAGGCCACGGCGCAGTGGCCCATGGCCTCCTGGACGAGGACGCGGGCGCCGGGGTGCTGCGCGGCCATGGCCTGGGCGGCCCGGAGGGGGGTGACGGGGTCGAGGCGGTTGGAGAGGAAGAGGATGGGGGCGGCGGGGCGGCCGGGCCTGAGGGCAGGGTCCGGGTCCGGGGTGGTGAAGGGGCCCTTGAAGGACCAGTTGGGGCGGATGCGCCAGCCGGAGCAGGGCATGCGGATGGTGGACCAGGTGGCGCCGAAGACGCGGGAGACGTCGAGCTGGCTGCGGACGTACCTGCGCCACCAGGCGAGGTCCTTGCCGGAGACGTCGTCGCCGTCGGAGCAGACGACTGCGTTTTGGCTCTCGATGACAATGGTGGGCTTGGTGACGTTTGCGCGGTCCAGAGGGCAGGCGTCCTGCATAGCGGGCACCATGCCGAGGCCCAGCGCCATGACGGCCATCTGGGTGAGGTCGCCGGCGATGAAGTCGTTGAGCTTGCGGGCGAGGACCTTGAAGAGGGGAGCGGGGTTGTAGAGCACCCTGCCGGCGAGGATGAGGACGTCCCAGCTGGTGACGACGACGACGTCGCCCGAGTCGAGCAGCACCGACTTGGGCTTCTGGTCCAGATCGGAGAGGAAGCTGTCGAAGCGGCGGCGGATGTCGGATGCGCCGCGAGTGTCGGACGGGCGGGCCAGGGCGCAGACCTCGGGGCCGGCGGCGGCGCAGCCTTCGAAGAAGTTGTCGAATATTTCGTCTGAGTCGACGGTGTTTGTGAGCCAGCCCTGTGAGTGACAGAAGATGGTTAACAACGACAAAGGGGGGGAGATACGAGTTTCAGTTCAACTCTTGAGGATGCGGGAGGGGAAACAAACTGGACCGGTTGCGTAGTCCTGGATATTGCACACGCCGTCGAGGATCAGACGACCGACGCGGCCTGGGAACATGGAGGCAAAGTAATTGCCCAGCACCGTGCCGTAAGAGAAGCCAATGTACTGAAGACGCGGAACATCGCCCGGTTCGTCACCAAGCTCGGCCGGTTTCCTCCTGGGAGCAGCGCGCTTCCTAAGCTCTGTTCGCACAGCAGAGTCGTCGCCCTTGTTCTCGGACTCCCGAGCAGCCGCCTCCCTTTTGCGCAGCTCGTCGACCTTGTCGACCATCTCGACCATGTCGCGGGCGACGTTGGGCGTCCCGACAAAGGCCATGGCGTCTTCGCCGGCCTGCTGGCAGCGCTGGCCAAAGGCGTCCATGATGGCCATGCTGTAGGCGATGACGCCGTCGCCGTTGGTGAGGGCGCCGTTGCCGCGGTTTTCCAGGAGAAAGGCGTCCCGCGCCAGCAGGTTGTTGTCGAAGCAGTCGGAAGCTGGGGCCGTCCTGCCGATGCCGCGCGGGTCGAAGGAGATGATTTCGTAGTGGCGACGGCCCGGCTTGTCGGCCGTGTGGCGGAGATAGCGGCCCATGACGAGCAAAAAGTCGACGCCGGAGCTGCCGGGCCCTCCTGGGTTGGTGAAGATGGCGCCGCCAAAGGTCGGGTCGTCGTCCGGCACGACGGCGGGCAGCTTGATCATGGCGATGGTGGCCACTCTCGCGTCGGTCTCGTTGAGCCAGTTCAGGGGCACCTGGAGGCGAGCACACTTGTACCCGCCGTAGCAGTCGTGGTACTCGAGGTCATCGCTGGGCGTGATGGAGTCCCAGTCGAAGGCGTCCTTGGTGGTGGAAGCGCCGGCTCGGGCCGTGGCCAGCACGGAGCAGCATCCTGCCAACAGGAGGCCAAAGCAGCGCTTCATGGCGAATGCTTCGAGCGACCTTTGTCCCGTATGTCGTTGCTAATGGGCTTGTCAGTCTTGTCGTTTGATGAGACGGCTCGCTTCCAAATGAAACAAATGGAGAGAGTAAGGTAAAAAAAGGGAAAAGGAAACCAGCAAGACGCGAGGCAGAAGAAGAGAACGTACGCACACCTACCGAGGAGACAGAAAAAGAATCCAAGCCATGAATAGGTGGGATCCCGGTGATTTATATAGACATGTTTGCCCCCCCCCCCCCCCCCCCAAGTGGTGTGTGTGTCACCCTCATGAAAGCGAAATCATTCGCTAACGGAAAGAGATGCGGCAAAAGCGTCGGCAGACAGCGACAGACCATCAAACCAGACCAACCCTTGACGCCAGTTCATCAACAGCTTGGCATCGAAGGATTCCGGGGGAGCGGGCCATGCAGGCAAGACATGAGGGAGATAAAAAAGATAACGCAAGGCAAATGCAAAGCCGGCGACCCAACGCCAAGACCCTTCTCAGCAGTACTTTTGTACGTATCTCTAGGCAGATAAGAGAACGCGATAGTCAGCCCGTCAATTCGTGGGGAAGAAGAAGCAGAAGAAGAAGAGGAAGAGGCAGACGCGGGGGATCGTGGGGTTCAGGCGGGAGCGAGGAGGGGGAGCCGGGCCGGATCTAGTACCCGACCGAACCAATCTGAGTCGAGGTCCGTTTGCTTGAGGGGATAAGGGGAGCGATGCAGCGCTGAGGCCTAGGCTGAAAGGAGAAGTCGAGGGTAGTGGCATTTCTTTATGGAAATGGCTGGCGATGTATGTGTATGAGTAAGTGAGGTGAGGAAGAGGTGAGGCTAGCTGCAGCAGCTGAAGGAGAAGAAGCAGGGGGTGGTCATGTAATGGGGGATTGTTGGCTGACCTGTGATGGCAGCGACCAGCTTACATGTGAACCAATGCCTGACTAGCAGGTAGGTACAACTCCTAGCAAAGCAAAGAGACTCTAGAAGTTGAAAGGCCAGAGAAGGATTGAGTAGATAAGAAAGGGATGTCTCATGCTCAATCCAAACATTCGAGATGCAAATTGTTTTATGTACATATACATATATATACAACACCGCGCTTGACGACTTCATTGGAGAGGACGCCTCGATGAAATGCTGCCTCCTTCTTCCGCCTGCGATAGATCACTTTGATATGTATTGACAAACACGGAACGCGGATATAGAAAGTGAAAAAAACATGGATACAAAAGAATACACTGTATAAACCCGGCGCCAGAGATTAGGCTTTTTTAAATCACTCCATCCAAGTCTCTTCCCGCTTTCAACCTCCTTTGCTTCTTCTCCCTGCTGCTTCCAACCCGTTCACAAGGCAAATGCCCACTTCGATCGAGAGACTTAGATTCGAGGTGGCTCGCTAGGTGGGAGAGTGGGCGCTCTCCGTAGATGGTGTCTGATGCGTTGCTTGCTTGGTATACACCAGACGAGAGGATCTGTGTTCAACCTGGTATGTCGATAGTTGAGGACCCCTCCTCCATGTCTTTTTGTGCTCTACAATATGTAGACGGAACAACCAATTACATAATAACCTGGAATTCTAGTTGTCAGTTCTTCCGCGCAGTTGAGACAAGGAGACATCATTTGAAGCCAGATTCTACTCACACAATCACCATCCTGCTTGCCCTGAGGAATGCCCATGTCTTCAAACGTGGCAGGTCCCGACTTGCCCCCTTTGTTGGGCTTGGGTGCAGCCGCTGGGGCGCTCGGTGCTGGGCTGGCGCTTTGCACACCAGGACCCTGAGGCGCAGGCCCCGGAGGAGCAGTGCCAACTCTGTTGGGTCCGGGTCGAGGGCCGTTGCCGGGGCCTTGGGGTCCGGGTGATCCATGTCCCGGAGGAGGTCCCCCAGTGTTGACTCTTCCTGGGGGCGGTCCGCCTTGCTGGCCGAGAGAGCCCATCCTGTCCGGATAATGGCCACCGCCAGGGCCTCCGGGACCGCCTGGACCTCCAGGACGTCCGGGGCTACCGGGGCCTTCAGGTCGCGAGGATGTCCGAGGAGCAAATTGACCAGGCTCCGGCCCCCCATGAGGGCCGCCCATCGGTCCTCCAGGCCCGCCACCATAACCTTGAGGCGGCTTGTTCTGCATGCGGTTCCCGCTGTGGGCGCTGCCAGGCCGACTGTCCCCCGGATACGGGCGTCCCTGCGGCGGTCCGCCTCCTGGCCCCATGTTTGGCGATCCGTAGCCTCCGGGACCGTGAGGACCAGGCGGTCCGCCTCTGCCACGGCCGGCGCCCGGTGGTGGTCCAGACCCGTACAGATTGCCGGCTGACTGGGAGCCCGGCAGCGGCCGTGGACCATCGCCGGGTCCCTGTGGCCTGATGCCGAAGGCGCTGCTAGGCCGGTCTGCTGGAGGGCCCTGGGATGGGGGGTAGTTGTTGTTGAGGCGAGGCCGGCCGTCGTCATCTGGATACGGCGCGTTCCGTGGCGGCGGCTGCATTCGATCATCCACGGGGTAGGGGGCGGCAGATTGGGAACGCATGGGCGGCGCGTTGGGATCGACGCGGACGTTAAAGGCCGGCGGCCGGTCGGCGGTATCGACAAAGGACGCCCTCGAGGGCTCGGCGAAGCTGTTGTTGTCTGTCACGATCGTGGGACGCATGCCCGGCGAGGGCGATGGGGAGACTCGGGAATTGCCGACCGAGGTGACCAGCTTGGGCAGCGGTGCCGGGCCAGTCTCGCCACCCTCGCTGAGGGTGGGCATGGGGTTCGCCTGCTTGTTGAATCGATCGGGGCGTTTGCCCCTTTGGGAGCCGTGCTGGGACTTGATGCGCGTCATCGTCGTTGTCTCGTGATCGTGCTTCGAAAGGCCGCCGCCTTGGCTCAGCGACTCCAATCGACCGACGGCGTCCTTGTTGCCGTGGTCGGCGGCGAGTTGGTACCACCGTTGGGCCTCGACCACGTCCTTGTTCACGTGGATGCCGATTTCGTGGTAGTAGCCCATGGCAAACTCGCCCGTGGGCAGCTTTGCCGTGGCCGCCTCGTGAGCATACTTGTAGGCAAGCTCCTCGTTCTTCTTGAAGACGCCCTCGTAGCCAAAGAGGAACCATCGGCTGACGCCCAGGGCAGCCTCCGGAACGCCCTGCTTGGCGGCCAGTCCGTAGTAGTGCAGGGAGTAGGACGGGTTGAAGTCGCACCCCAGCTGGCACAGCTCGTACGCCTGGCCCATTTTGAGCTGGGCCTTGGCGAAGCCGAGATATGCCGCCTTTTCGACGTAGATCTTTGCCGTCTCAATGGCATACGGCAGCAGGCCTTCGGGAATGGAAATGTCGGGCAGGTCTCGGCCGATGAGCATGCCGTAGACGTAGGCACCCTGAGGGGCGTCCTCGTCTGCGCTGTCGGCAGCGGCGCGGATCCGCTCCAGGCCGCCCTGGTAGTCCTTGGTCTCGCCGTGCTGGCCCAGGAGGCTCATCATGCCCATGCGGTAGAGGGCGGCCGAGTCCTTGAGGCTGAGGCCCTTGTAGTAGTACTCCTTGGCCTTGGACATGTCGTTGGACTGCTCAAAGAGCATGCCCATGCGGTAGACGGAGCGGGTGCTGCCCAGGTCGGCGGCCTTCTTGTAGCCGGTGTAGGCCTCGCGCTTGTCGACGCGCTCGCCGAACTTGCCAAACTCGAGCCATTTGGCGCGGATGTAGAGGGCGTCGGGGTGTTCCTGCTCGGCCAGGTAGCGGATGATGTTGACGGCGTCGTTGCGCAGCTCGTGCTCCTTGCGCGGGGTCGGGGGCCGGTTGCCCGAGTCGCCCGCCTCCCTGGCGGCGGCGTCCATGGAGATCTCGGCCCAGTTGAGGACGTCGCGGGCCCAGGTGATCTGCATGTTGACGTTCTGCGAGTGCAGCACATGGTTGCGGGCCTTCCAGAGGATCTTCTCCTTCTCGTCGTCGGCCGGCGGGATGTTGTCGCCCACGACCTTGGGGAAGGGCGAGAAGGACGGGGCGTCGTCGTCCATGTCGGGCAGCTGGTGCGGCGGCCGTGTGGCTGTTGTCGTCCTGCTCTGGCTCTGGCTCAGGCTCTGGCTGGGACTGCGACCGGGACCGTAACCGTAACCGTGGCCCTGACCGTAGGCTCTGGCGTCGGGCTGCTGCGGGTAGTAGCCTGTGGTGGTGCTGCTGGTGGTGGTGGAGGTGCTGTTGTTGTTGGTGCTGTTGTTGTAGTACGGCGACAGCGAGGGCTCGCGGCTCCTATTATTGTAGTCGTGGCTCCGGGGCTCGATTTCGCGGGCCTCCAGCTCCATGCGCTGCAGGTCCTCCTGCATGTTCTGCGGCACCTGAGGGGTCACCCTAATCGCCTCGAAAGGATCACGGAGAACGTCAGCAGCAGCCCCACCTCGAATGGCTCAACGGCTCCATTCAGCCTCATCCAGGCGAAATGGCCAGAGGGCAAGCAATCAATAATAGGAGGGACCGGGCGAGCAAATAGCGGACAGGGACAAGGAGGCTTAGGGGAGCAGGGATGTTGGTGTGGGATCGCAAGCAGAAGCAGAAGCAGAAGCAGAAGCGGGAGCAGAGAGATGCTGGACTGGGACATCTTACCGTTGAGGCGACGGCGCAACGACCTCGGGCATGAAGTAATCATCGTCGCTGCCGGGCACAAAGGTGGCGCCGAGTCTTGACATGGCTGCTGCGAAGCCTGGCTCTCCTCTTCCTCTCTCTGGCCCTCTTTCTCTCTCTCTGTGTGTGTGAAGACGAGGAAGAACCTCTCTCTCTCTCTCCCTCTCTCTGCGGGCGCCTCTACTTGGACACGGCTGTCCCCGAACGAACGGCGTCTGCACTGCCCTGAGCGACTGAAAAATAGCGGGATTCGGGGCCTCGAACCCTGGTACAGATCCCGGGGTTGCGGCAATCAGGCGTTGAATTGCTGCTGCTGCTGCTGCTGGCTGCTGCTTGTATAAGACGGTGCGATTCAAGCAGCTGCAGCAATAGTAATACTTTGCAAGTAGGTTCTGCGTTAGGCGGGCGGTCTGGAATTATGTAGGTATGCACGGCGCAACTCGCCTGGCTCTTTGGTCCTGGGGCGGTGCACAGGGCTAGAGCAAACCAGGGCCAAGCGACTGGCCGTTTGTTGTGACTCTCCTTCGTCTTGTGTTTCCTCTTGTCTGATCCCTTTATTTTAAACAAAGTCCGAGTGGATGAGGTCGGGCCTTGGCGCACAGGAGTTGCGTGGCCTCGAAAGATGACAAAGGAGGAGTAACGTTGAGAAGGGAGCTCAAGAAGAAATGGGAGGGAGGGGAGGAAAGGGTTGAAGCTCTATGTAGTAGTAGTAGAGGACCGACGACGTTGGATATCGCGGCTGAGGCTGCTGGACACGGGGCTTTTGTCTGGAACAGTGAGCTATAATTAACTGCCGGACTAGTACAGTGTGGCGATGCGCCTCGTGGAATCTGATTGATGCCAGGCTTGCGAGTTCCATCTAGTCCTCACGCCTTGCTGACAGCTGCGGCGGGCTTGGAGATGGCTTGTCAGTGGTCTTTATAGCGCGTATCGAGTGCTTTGCGTGCCTGTCTGTATGTACTTGAGAGGAGGGTGACATCAAAGAGCTTGTCTTTTGTCTTCATGGCAGTTGGTGAGCAGCGATTTCCGGCTGATTTTCATCATGTGAGCGAGGCACGAAGCAGCAGCAGCTGCTACGGATACTACTATCGAGGTGCATGGGCCGTGATCTGCAGTGCGGAGACGCTCCATGAGCTGCTTGCCTATCTATCCTTTGAACAGAGGGAGGGCCAAGCCTACCAGGTACTATACTAGTATTAGATACATATTCCCAGCAGCATCGCATCCGGGAGCAATAATGCCTCTTGACTCAGTGTACCAAAGCATTCATGTTTGTGGATATTGAGCATATATAAAGAAACCTATCAAGAAAACAGCGCCACGGGCTGTGTGCCTGGCCGCGGAGCTGCGGTATCACGGATGCAACGCCAGGCGCACACTCGCTGCGACAGCCGTAACCTCAGGCTCCGTATTTCCACTATCAAGCCGAGGCTGGTTGATGAACTTGAGTTGAAGCTCGAACCAGAGACGCAACCGCTCTGGTCCGTCGTCGCGATACAATATCTCAACTAGTAGATCATTTTCCAAACAGATACTGGGCGTACAGTACTAACAAGGCATGTGACACCTTGATATGCACGGCAGATCTCCTGCTGATGCCTCTCCCCCCTTCCCTCTTTCGCACTCTCAATCTGCGGCGGTTCTGGTCTCTTGCCATGCTGTGGAAATGTCGCTAGTGTGGCTGCTGCTGTCGGTTCGTTGAAATCACATGCAGCTAAGCAGTAATAATAACACTTGTTCAACATGCAATGCAGTTGAGGCTGGCTGCAAATCTCCGCGAACAAGCGCCGCCAACGCCCGACTCCAACTCCAACCCCAACCCCAAGCCTCGCAAAGCCCACCTTTTAGGAAGCTACCTATTGCAGCAGAGCCCCTCCAACATCGACCAGACGAGGCACACACGCGACTCCGTCACGATCACGATCACGAAACACGACACTGCGACAACCCCCTCTCAATTGGGCACAACCAGCTAGCTATAGAGAGGGAGACAACACCAAGAGACACGGCCAGCCATGGCAGCGCCGCCCGATCCCCAGGCCGTCGAAGAGCCCTCGTACATCGACTACGAGACCTTCCTGTCCCCCGACTTCGCGCCCGCCTCCTTCGCCAACTCCCTCGTCCTCGCCACCAACAACCCCGACGACTCCCCGCTGGATCTCGCGACGCCCCTGTCCCGGGTCCTCTTTGACGCCCAGGAGATTGATTCGCACATTGACCTCCTCACAACCCGCTCTGCCGTGCCCCTGCTGCAGTACACGCAGTCGCAGACGCAGGCCAGCAAGGCCATCGTGGCCCAGCTCGACGCCCAGATTGCGAGTCTCAACGACAGCTACAAGCAGCTGGAGAAGGAGGTCATCGACAAGCATGCCGAGGCCGAAGAGATTCGACAGGTTGCACAGCGCTTATGGGAGACGCTGAGGCTGGGGAGGTCGATGGGGAGATGCCTGCAGCTCGGGAGACAGCTCCAGGTCCAAATGTCCGAGCTGGGCGGCTCCAACACCGGCACCGGCACCGGCACCGGCACCGGCAAAGGCGACCACGGGGCGCTCGTTCGATGCTCGCACACGATCCTCTCGCTGCGTGAGGTGCTGGACAGCAGGGCGCCGGGCGAGGAAGGCCACGGGCTGGACAAGCTGGACGCAATCAAGGCACTGCATGACACTGTCATTGTTCCCACAGAACGGCGCATTGTGGAGGCATCTGAGCGCCTCATTCGGGAATTCGCCGTCTCGAGCAACATCACGTTTGCCCAAAGCGAGGAGACGCGATCGCGACTCACGTCCGCCGTATCTGCCCTTTACTTGTTGTCCCCCTCGGCGGGCATACAGCCTGACAAGTGGTCGCCGAAGCTGCTCTTACAAGCCCTCGAGACCTATGTCCGCTCCCCGCTACAGGCAAGCACCGCAGCGCTCTCGCGATCACTGGGACAGCTTCCCACCCTGGACAAGTCTCTCGCCGAGGTCGTCTCTCATTGCCAGAACATTGCCTCTCTCGAGTTGATCCTCGAGACCATTGAGACGCCGACCCACCCCTTGTTCCCGGCTCCCGCAAAGAAGAAGCAGCAGCAGCACAGCCTCTATCAGCTGCTGCTGTCCCGCTTCGAGACGAGCTCTCTGGTGTCCTACTTTTGGCGCACCATGGCAAGCAACATTTCCACTCGCGTGCAGGAGATTGCGACCCGAGGAGGCATCGTTGCTCGAACCCTGCGCACGAACAAGAACGTGGTTGGAGATGCCATACGGCAGGCGGTCGTCCGAGGGGGCCAGGCCCCCAACGTCTTTGCCAGCAGCAAGAAGAAGCCCGTTGCCGAGGCGAGCTGGGATCGAGAGATTGCTGTCATGGTGGGTAGCGTGTTGAACAACATTGGGCGGTGATTTGATTTAAGAAAAAGAGAAAAAAAACGTTGGACATCTTGGAAAATTTGGAAAGGAATACCATGCATATAGACATAGACTCAGGAGACTGGTTGTCATGAAGATGCAGATGCTTGGCAAAGGCATATATACGTTCCTTAGATGCAGAAGATGTGGGTTGTTCTCCCCCCATCCTCGAATACTCAGCCACTGGCTTCGAGGCAACTCAAACAGGCCTCTTTAGCCTCTCTGAACGTCTCTCGTCGTTGTGTTCTAGTATTTGTCTGGAGGCCCCGGCCAGCTCCCCTCCGGCACAGGCACTCTAGCCGATCTCGTATAGATATGCCTGGCATCCTTGAGGTCCAAGCCCTCTTCCATGCAACCCCCCTTGACCGTCACCGTCGGCTGCGACGTCCCGTTCGGCAGCAGCCCGCGGTGAAGCACACGCACGCCGCACGTCTTGCAGAAATAGCACTCAAGGGTGTTTCCCGAGTCCGTCTTGCGCGTCCACATGCCGACGCGGTCCCGTATGCTCTCGGGGAAGGGAAGCATGCCGTCGACGGGGAAGATGGCGGAGACGCCAAAGGCCGAGGACGACTGCTTCTGGCACTCGAGGCAGTGGCAGATGTCGACGCGGAGAGGCTTGGGGAGGACGGCCCGGAAGGAGACGGCGCCGCATTGGCAGCGGATCCTGGGGTTGGTGTCCATCTGAGGTGACCTACTACCTCTAAGGCAGGTGATGATAGCAAGTGAGGTATGAGAGAGGTTGGCTTATACGGAGAGTCGTAGGGAGCAGCACGATGGTGCACTGTCTGTCCCTATATGCTTGTGGAATGTAATAGAAAGTCGTACAAATAGGGCGTTTAGTCCCTTGTCAGGTCGTGATTAGCAGTCACCAGAATGCTTTGAAGCTGTATGAGGGGTTGTGGTTTTCTGCAATTGGAGATGGCGAGCCAAGTCTAGAGATCGGCTACTACCATGTACTTTATCAACTGCAAGGTGATGCAGACGGCATGCCGGCCTGCTCTGCAAAAATTAGCGCTACTAAACAAGCTTTCGACTGACCTCTAGGGCCATCCCAGCCATCAGCAGCAACATAAAATCCATGGATGTTAGTGTCTGTCGTGCTTATACTTGACTGCAACAAGCACAAAGTGTCCGGTAATACTGAGGCTCACCCTGTTCATGTTCTGATCGTCCATCCTGATACTACTGCTGCACCGTCCAGTGCCATCGTCCAGCACCCAAAACACACACAGTGCTGGACGATCATATCGCTATAGACGAGGTCTTTGCGCGAACGGTGTTTTGGGAACATAGTGCGCGGCTTTTCGGACCCCGAGTCACGGCAGCGCCGGATCGTCTCCGATTCAACCAACCTGGACGGCCCTTGCAGCCCCAGCCGCTCTGCCAAACTCAATTCCCATCTCTATTTTCTCTTCCTTTGTCTACCTTATTAACACTTCGTCTTCAATGGTTTAATCCACCCCCCCTTTCTTCTTCGTTCCGTCCCGTCGACTCGCTGTGCTCTGCTCTCGCATTGCGCCCAGAGAGCGACGAGCGTCGCCGACTTTGACTCTGGAATCCTCCCTCCGTCATCACCGCCCGTGATCAGAGGTCGAGGTGCCGAGAAGCGGCAGATCCGCCATCTGAGGAATCAATCATCAACCTCAACTCCCCATCTCGAGGCAGACAGCATGATTCGCTACGACGTCTTCGACGCCCGGGACCTTCTGGCCTTCCCCGGCGGCGACAACAGCACCGACACCGTCTTCGGGGGCGTCCACTTCAACCTCACCACCCTCCAGCACTGGAACTACACCTACTACAGCAATGGCACCCTGTCCAACAACTCGCGCTGCTATCTGACCTACGAGCCGTACGAGCCCAAGCTGCTCATCAGCAACGGCACCTTTATCAACGCCACCAAGTGCTACAGCGCCGTCGACCCGATTGCTGTCCGCGGCTACACGGGAATTGGCTTCGCCGTCGCATATGCCATTGGCCTCATGCTGACGCTGAGCTGCCTGGCCAAGCACGGCAGGCTCTATCTGCCCAAGGAAAAGCGCTTCTATCCCATCGGTCGGCGCTGGCAGTGGTACTGGGGCTGCTTCGTCTCCGCCTGCGCCCTCATCAGCCTCTTCACCAACATCGACATTGACCGCTACCACGTGCCCGAGCTGCCCATCATCGTCACCTCCTTCTTCTGGTTCCTCATCTGCCAGGGCACCGTTGCGCTAGTGTGGGAGTCGGTGAGGCACTGGGGAAGCTGGCAGGAGAGGCAGTTTGTCGACCCGAACCCCTTTGTCTACCGCGAGGACGATCGGCGAGCCAAGGTGGAATTCTACTTGCCCCTGTGGTTCTATTTCTGGACCTGGATGGTGAGCTCGTGCCCTTTTTTCTTTTCTTTTTTCTTCTTTCATTCTATTCTTTCCCCTAATGGTGGTTCATCTCGTCTCGTGCATTGTCTCACAACTCATCTAGAACTTCTTCCTCGTCATTCCTCGGAGCTGGTCGTTTGTGGAGCAGCAGCGCTCCCCAGAACAGACCCTAGCCAAGGCGATTCCCACCGCTACGGGAGCGCGATTCAAGGCGGGCGCCTTTTGTCTCGTCATCGCCTGGCTCACAATCGTCTTCTCGCTGCGCCACTCCATCTATCATTACAAGCCGCGGAACCGTGGAGTCCTCAACCGGACCATGGGCCTCGTCAAGGCGCTCCCGCTGCGTTTCGTACTGACCATTCCTCTCGCAGGCGCTCTTGTTGCTTACCAGGTGCTGATTTCCTTTAACTGGACTTTCTCTGTCATGCGCTACCAGGGCATCGTGCCGGTCATTTTCGCCTGGGGCTACGGCCCGTCCTTGCTCATCATCTTCGTGCAAGCCGCTTATGGGTTCGCGAGCCCTAACGAAGACAAGGCTCTCCTCAACCAACGACGACAGCGCGGTGACACGATTGACCGCGAGCTTGGCATCGTCAGGAAGCCGGCGTGGTGGAGGCGCGTCAGGGGCGAGCACCTGTACACCATGCGAGACAAGATCTCCCAGAACGTCAACGAGGTGGGAGGCAAGCGCGGTCTAAGGGCCAGATTCGAAGGGGAGCCCGAAGGCGAGACGGGCGGCAAAGACGACGGCATCGAGATGGCGAGCATGTCTCAAAAGAACAACCCGCGGGTTGACAGGGCGGGCGTCGGGAGCCTGGGATCTGCGGATCGCTATGCCGGAAAGTCGCAGCGCCGACACAACGAGCGCATCGTCGAGTCCTTTGCCGGCGTGCTCTTCCCCAACAACGTCGACCCCGAGAGGGCGCGGAGGATTGCCGAGATCACGGCAGACGGACCCCCTCCGTATCGAGACGAGGAGCGCGGCCGCTCGTCTCGGCCAACCGGCGCAAGCAACGGGCAGAGGAACGGCAGCGCCGACACCACCAACTCGATTGCTGCCCCGCCACAGCAAGTTAGAAGCATGCTGGATGTGTGAAGCGGCAGCATGACTGCGGCATCACGACTTGCGGCATAACGACTGCTTGAATTGATGACTATCCGAGAGGATGATGAGAGAATAACGAACAATGACGAGAGCGATGTACTACGTCTCAGTCGGTGACGATTGGCTTTTAACGCGAACAAGAGACGGACCAAGGAGGAAATTTTGACAGGGACATGAATTTTGCTGCCATTCTTGCCAAAAGGCCATGCTTGATGGACATTCATGATTAGGGCAATGAGTGCATTGCTCGTATCAGGCCAAATGCACTCCCGCCTCTCACGCGGGGCGGCAGTAATATACATATTTGTCCTTGTATAAAGAATACAATTCTTCAATCTTCACTCTTGACCTTTTACTTACTTGTGAGATGTATCGACTTGAACTTGTCGGATGTTAAGTCAAGCTCATCCTGACGAGCGTATTGGTCAACAAGCAACATGGTCACACAATCACAAAATGGACGTATTAGATGCCATTCCGTCCCAGCTCCTTCAAATGGCCGTGTACTCCGTATACACCATGCCGTCACTCGGTAGCCTTGGGTGTTCTGTATCCCCCAAATGTCGTAATGCCTCGCTGACGTTGCAGGAACCCATTTCCTGTAGAACCTCGCCTTCTGTGCCACCGTAAGCGGATGCCGTTTCTCCAACCCAGGGAATTTCCGTTTCTGAAGGAATTCGCTGAGCGACGGTGACACGGAGGAAGGCAAGGAAGGGCAAGGTAAGGAGGACAAAAAGCACGATGGATTTTGACGACATGGCACGGCATGGAGGGGGCATGGGATGGCGGCATCATCTGACTCGATGCCAAGGAGGTTCAGCAAGGGGTAGGTTTTCTTTTGGATTGAGACCATCGGTCTAGGGGGAGGAGGAAGAGGAGGAGGAGGTTTGTATCGTGGACGCCGGGGTTGAGTTGTATGTACGTGTAAGGTAAGGTAGTAAGGCAGGGAGGGAGCTGTAGTATGTATGTAAGGTACAGTATGTGGAATGTGCATACGGGACGATTACAGCCAGCCACTCATGATGCAAGTGGCAGCGCATCCAGGAACTCGGTCGGAGAGGGATCCCTGTCGATCATTCATTCATCTGGCCAATTACAGTAGTATACAGAAGAACTACGATGTGTAGGTCAATGCGAGTGAGGCTGTTGAAATCTTCAATACGCCGTGTACATACATAGGTAGATTCCGATATGGCTTTGTGTGGTCTCGATTATTCCATGTCCTGCCAACGTCATGTTGTAAGTGTACAGCAGCGCTGGAACACTCTTTGGGAAAAAGGGAAAAAAAAAAAAAAAGAAATGACGAAGCTTGGTCTGATAGCAGCACTTATCGCCTAAAGTAAAAACAATTGAGTAGTCGTGACGATTCCATCTGAAGCATAAGCGCAGAACACGAACGCATTCGATACCGGTCACTTTCACGGCGCTGGAATCTCATCCATTCAATCATCTCATCATCATGGTGACCGCCTTGAATTCCTTCGTCTATGAAATGCCTGTTGGACGCATCCATCCGGGATGGACGCGCAGCATCT